TTTATCGAAGCAGCGTGTGGAGCGGTATCGGCACCAGCGTCTGCATATGGTTTGAATTGTTTGATGTTTTATCCCATGTTGGTGATGTAACATGTAACGGGACTGAAGTACCGTTACTGTAGCGTACACTGGAAGGATCGAGGAAGCAGGCAAATATGACTCTGAGATTGATAGTTAGCGACGCGGTCTCGACACAAGAGACCGCGCCAGCCATTTACTCTGTTCTACGTGTTGATTGGCTACCGTGGTGGACACGGTAGCTGTTGTTTGACAGCGGCCCGTCACACCATCCCCCACTTCAGATGGAGAACACGCCACACTTGGCGTTTGGAGTCGAGATGGCAGAAGCTGGCGAAGAAGCGACGACGATGGAGGAGGAGGCTGGAACGATGGGCACAGCACGATTGCAGTGCCTTCCGCGACGCGCGGCCCGGACGAGATGAAGCGGTTGTTTGAACGGTTCCGGGCGACGCGTGGCAAGCCCGTCACGGTGACGTCCACCGTGACCATCAGGTCGCTCGATCGTGCGTGGACAGCGTTCGTGAAGCGGTGAAACCTGGAGGGTCGCGAGGCGTTCGAAACCATGTTGAAAAAGCGTGAAGCTGATCGCGCTCGGTTGTCCGTCGGTGAGCTAGCTGGACAAGTCTGTCGCCTGTCGTGGGACCAAGATCGTCGGTGCTGCATCGCGCATTTCGAAGATGGGTGTCCGCACTGGCGCGAGCTTGGTGTCGCGCGACCGGATCGTGAAGAGTGGCGCCGCACCGTGGAGACGGTGCCTGTGACTGAAGTGGAGAGGGACGTGATCGGACGTTATCAGCGAGCCTTGGACGGGGCTAGGCGCGCCGGACGGGCGCGTCCTCAGCGCGATCCGTCACCGGTGCGAGGACCGCCTCGTACGCCTCCACGCAGTCCGGAACATCAGCGAGGAGGACGTCACGAGGCTCCCAGCTATCCGGCATGAGGCCCAACCAGCGCACCAAGTAGCGGCGCTGTGAGGGGATCAGATTGGCGCGGCGTCGAGCGCCGCGATCCGTGGGCGGGGCGCGGGGATCAGCTTGGTTCAGAATACGGTCGACGATATGGCGAGCATGCCCTGCCGTGTCAACAAGTGGAGCCGGACCGTCGCGTTCGAATGGAGGATCGGCGCGGGTGGGAGGACGCCGCGGAGATGCGGCGTCTGCGCCAGCTATCCGGAAACCACTAGCTTTGCAAAATTTCGGTACTTCTTTCTTTCGTAGCGAGTTTTCGCACCGACGACACAGCCAGACCATAGACGTCCTGCTACTTTCGTCTCTCACGATTGCCTCCGGAATAATCTCACATTCGCCCTCATTGTTACAAAGCGGGCTGTACAAAGCTGCATCTGGATTGAAGCGTTTCATTACAGCTTGCTCCGATTTGGTCAATTCTCCACAACTGCCGCATATCCGAAGAAAGGGGGCGTCGACAGCAGCGTAGAATGCTGTAACGGGCACAAATACGAATTAAGTTAGTTCGGCAGTCCATCGTATTTATGGTTGCTTGCAGACATACCTCTTGCATCTTCACTACGGCCGTTAGCATCATATTGCGTCTTCGAATTCGTCTTGCTTCTCTTCACACTACTGGGCTGACGTTGTGCCGCCGCATTCCGTTTCATTGTTTCTTCGTAACGCGCAAGCCTCTCTATCGTGCTTGCAACTTCCATGGCTTCGACTGGGGCTGCAGTTGTCCGTCGTTTTTTCCGCTGTGGAGTTCCACTGCGCTGCGAGAGCTCGCCTTGCTGCTTTAGCAGCACGAGATGTCTGGGTTGGTTTTACCATCTTCATACACATTGCCTTGTTAGTACTGCTTCTAAACTAAATATCCATACCATTAGCTCTCACCTCACGCGATAGATTGAAATCCTGCAATACTGCTCTCTGTTGATTGTTTTGCCAATCTTCTGGTTGTGTCGAATCCAAGTTGCCTGGATGTCGACCACAGTGCTCTGTGCAATCGGACGTGATTTGTTTTCGAACTACTGTTTTTTATCCAAAAATAATTCCAACGACTAGCAGTGGACCTCATTTATTATTTTCGGCACAGTTACAATCATACAATTCTAAGTAGCATAACATTATCATAAATATTGCTGAATTATTTATCTCAGCAGTATACTGCTCAAAAACGATACTTGGCTAAGATGCATTTCCAATATTTATTGCAGTACCGGAATTGCGGAAAATAACTCATAAATGTTTGTTTCGATTGGAATTGGATGCCTGTCCTTGAAGTATGAATGCGTACTACACTGGACTGCGAACTACAGCCAGTTTATAGCAGATAAAACCTTCTAGATCCGAGCACCCATGCGCACTAGAATCGTAGTATTGTGCCTTTCTCAAACTTTGGCCAATCGGACCCCAAATGGTAGGTCCTAAGAAGCGGAGGATAGGGTTCCATCTAGGATTTGCTGTGGTGGTTGAAATGATTTAAATCATTGGTATTTGTAGCTTCAAGTCCTACGTAAGAGCTCCGATCTTATGTAAGAGGGCCGATTTAGAAATAAGGTCCGAATGGCCTTAAATTCGTGGCCATTTCCTCCTACGTACGCCCTCCGCTGGAGGACGACATGGGAGGGTGCACAAATAATTAGAACTAGCTTTAAGACCACAGTCGATATTCATAATGCAATGTCTAGCTAACTTGGAATCACTCTCCACCGAAGGCAACTACAGCAAGAGATGCTATGGAAGCAGAGGTAGAGAGCTGTGTGGGTATTTCTTCAGTATTAAGCATGGAAGTCTAAATACGATGCTTTAACGTTAATAGTAGCGCAATGCTACTATCATGAGTGATATCTCTGCAGTTTTATGTTACAGACCAGCCTTTTACTCACCCCCAGGGTAGGTTTTACGGGGCCTTACGTAGGGGCAAAGGCCTTACGTAGGACCATAAATCGGAGGGCGTTTTGGTAGAAAGGCACAATACTTTGAGATCCGAGCGGGTCCACAACCTCACGCTGAGACTACATTGTTTAAGTTTAGATGACGTTTGATTGGCCCGCGACGATCACTGAGCATTCTTCAAGTATTCAACTGCGTCCAAGACATTCGACTTCTAGATTTCGCACCTATTAAGTACTTCATGCACTTGAACTTCACACACTACATATCATCTTTGCTCTGGGAAGGCGTTCAAAGCCAATTGACCTGTAGATGGCACCCTCGCGTACGAAGAGGATACCTTTGCACTTCACTACAGGCTAAACTCTTGAACAACGAACACTACGTGGCGCCATTTGATTAGCTTGAAGCGCGCTCCCCGGCCATTTGATATATATTCCTGCGAAGTCAGTTGTAAAAGCGATCACCAATTTCTTACTAACGACAACGTTACATTCGACGGCTTTCATTATTACAGCGTATCCTTGGCAGTCCTTGGCAGTTCTACCCGTCCAGCCTTCATTTTGTAGGTAGGTGGAATTGCATTAGAAACTCAAACATTGCGAATACATACCATAACACTGCATCAAGCGTGAACGCTGTTTCAACTGCCCTACATCGGTATCAATCCTCGACAACCAGATTCTCTACACAGACATTTTATCCTGCTCTTCAATAGCATTCCTTCGTGTTATCAATCCCACCATCCATAAGTGTGTCAATGAACACTTTCTTACCTTCGTAGCTGCATTTCCCCCTCCATAGTCAATCGTAATTTCCTCGTCAACTTCAATAAACCTCTTGGCGAAAAAAGCCACAGCAGATTTCGCCATTCACCTCCCAGCGCTCGACCACACAATTAGGGTTGCAGCCGTGGTTCGCGAATCTCGCGATGCCACCGCAAGCACGGGCGTCGATAACTTCGCCCTTCGTGAGACTCATTCCGTAGTAGTTGGTGGATCCTTTAAACTCCTAATGAAGAAGTTCAAACCTAGAATGTTAATAATGAGCCCGTTTCATCATTTTACACAATTTATTACCTTGTCCCGGCGCAAATAGGTTGAGCTTTTAATTATTTCTCCCGTGTACTGGCAGACGAAGGCGCCGGGCAAAACTGGCTGGCTTGCAAATAGAGAAATTCCCTTGTCGTGAAGTTTCTTTACGGAAAGCAAAGCATTGCTACCATTTTACATTTGCTGGTTGCTGCTGGGACCTCCAGTTACGCATTTGCCTCGTACACATTCGACTTGCATCTGTACAACGATCAATCATTAATAATGTTGCTATACTGTACCAATTATCAAACGTGCCGAGCGATTTTCACAATCAATACCACAAACTTCAGTCCAATCTTCACCACGATTGCACTTGCATTCAGAAATTTCGTCCTGCAAACGATGTTAGATACAAGTTTGGTAGTCTTTATTATTTACAGAAGCTTACCTTGTTGAGAACTCGTTTGGTTCTAAATAAAAACTTTATTCTGGTCAATAGATTCGTACTCCGTAAGAGCCTGCAAAGCACTACGCTCTTCGACCAGCTTTGAACAGTTCATTAGTAAAAATTTCAGAAGGGTTTTCATACACATTTCACATACAGTCTAGAACTCCATCGCTCGTGCTGGTAATTGGCGGCGGTCTCGCCACGGACCAAGAACTGATCCATTTTAGACTGCTGACGTGGCATCACCTCTACTGTTTTGTGTTTGTGTTTAAAAAATTCAAAGAAGTTGAGATTCGCAGTCGCCAAGGGCTTGTAAATTCTCTGGCTGCGATCTAAAAGAATTCTAGTGATGAGCTTCGATTTGCCGTCTTCATAGACTTCAATGTCACTTCAAGCAACTCTCACGCCCACTTCGCTTAAACAACTTCACGTCATCCTTTCACAACTTTAAGTACAATAGTGATCGGTCATGTTAATGCCAGTGCGAGCTGTCCTACCAATACATGTACATCTGCGAGTATCGTTCTTCTCATGATCTCCCTAACGTTACATCTTGCAAACTAAACTCTTATGAATGGAGCACAATAATACGTCTCGGCAGGATACGAACTCCTTGCTCCAGCTCCAGCACTTCGGTGTTTTGCTGTCGTTACCCGCGCGCAGCTGCAGCACCCCGTTTCATTGGAATATTACCACTCGAAGCAGACTCCAATCGAGGAATACTCGAACTCCCAGTGGTGTCCCCACCTTCGTCACGCTTTTGCTCTTCGTTTTCGTCGTTTTGGAGCAGAGCTCGAGCTTTGGGGTGCCGTCCCAACGGCTCCTGTCCAACCTTGCGCTCCAGGAGCGGAGCCAACTTCTTCACGACCCGATCCGGGGTACCTTACTCAAGCTGCACACTGCCCTTAGCAATGTCGGAGAAGTAGCCGACACTATGTACTTGCTTGAACTCGTACACAGCGCCAACACGAAAATGCATGCGCCCAGATTTAGGTGGTCCGATCTTCTTCTTCGAATCCCAGACTGTTATCTGGGCGATGAACGGCTTGCGGATCACGGAGCTCAGCTCGCTCAGCGTTTCTTGGACCTCATTGAACATCGGCTGAGCATTGGCGTTCACCAGTGTAATGCGGAATCCGTTATCCTGGCTCAATCGTTCGGCGCTGTAGCAGCACATCTTGACAGTGACGTTCACGTCAGCAGTAGGCTCTCGAGCCGAAATGAAGTCTCTCAAGTCGCTCACTTTGGTGAAGAAGTTCAACTCCTCGTCCTCTCGTTGCTGCAGGACAGCTTTGCGCAGGCGGTCGATCAACTCCATGCCGACTGTGTACGGGTAGTAAAGGCGAAGTTTTGCGAGGGCTACGAGCTTGAGCTCCAAAGTGCAAAAGCAAAAGTGAGAACTCTGCAAAATAGGTCGCAAGTTCAATTGGCTGCGGGATTGCCTCCTGGCAGTAGACTGCTTCAACATGCATTTCGGTACGTTACGTTTGGTTTTGGATTTCATGCGATTGGCCCTTTATTCCAATTTTCTACGCTGCAGAACGAAGATAAGACATCTTTATCTGCACCTGTTGGCAGCAATGGAAGCGATGAATCTGCTTATATGCTGCATAACTACGTTTACTCTACCTTTTTCAGCCTTATGTATGCTTTTACTTCGTCTTCATGATTCGGAGCGTCTATTGAGCTCGCTTAGCGAGGGTCGCTCCAGCGTCTTTAGCCTCACCATGCAATCAACTAAACCTTTACGCTCACCAGCGTTAAGATCGGCCAATTTTTCAGCGCTTAAATCACTCTACTGTAGCAGTCGAGCAGCCCCCCCCCCCCCCCCCCCCAAACACACACACACACCGCTTCAACATGCTTGCTAACATAATTCAATCAAAATGTCAGTACGTTGTTTTTACATTGCCTACGCTGTGCTCCCAACACAGTTGATTCCGTAGTTAACGAGAAAAATAAAAATCCAACGACAGATTTTGAGGTAATACATCTTAACTGATATTGTAACAACTACCTTTAACAATTAATATTTGTACAAAGGCTGGCGAAAATGACAGAGGCCGAAAACGAGATTATGAGCTGACAGATATCGAGCCAACAATCCGTCAATTTATTGAAAGAGAAAATAAAGCTGTACGCCCAACTACTGCAACCCGAATCAGCCTGCATCTGCACGAAGTGACGGGGATTCTACTTGCTGAGCGTACAATGCAGCGAGTTTTAGGCGAGCTGGATTTTCGATACGTGAAAGGCAAAAAAAGGCACATGTACGCAAACTCTGAGGCGAATATTGCATTTCGAAACAAGTATCTACAAAAAAAATTGCGAATCAAGTTGGGGAAGCGGTCGATCGACCTGAGGTGTACTTGGACGAGTCATTTTGCAATGCCAACCATGTTCGAGGTCAGACATGGCTATCCTCGGACAACATTCGCTACAACAAAAGTGGAAAAGGAGATCGGTATTTTGTATTTTATGTTTTACTATTTCGATTTATATTTTTTACTGACATTTTAGGTAGTGCTTGCATTGTTGCCGCAGGTATTGTGGCGAGTAGAGGCCGTACAACCTACGCTAAGTTTGTGGAAGGTTCAATACAATGCTGGAATGCATAAAAAAAAGAAAACAAGATGAAACAGAAGATTATCAAGATTATCACGGGAACTTCAACTCTGAGTTGTTTGAAGCGTGGTTCGAGAATCTTTGTAAATTGTTGAGGGACCAATACGGTGGCTGTAACATCCACATGGATGGAGCTGGGTATCACAAGCGCTTAACCAACGAAATGCCGACAACGCGGTCACTTCGGAGTTGGCTTGAAGACCATCTTAACAAAGTTGGTAAGTTTTGTTTTTATAAACATTTAATTGTTTTTATCTTGCTTAGGCAAGTGGGTTTCCAGGCGGGATGTCAACAAATCTAGACCAATCATAGATCTTAATTTGGTGCGCCTTTCCATCGAATATTGCACCTCTTGGAGTGGCCATTTTAAAATTGATGTAGCTCGAAAACGGCAGGAAATTGATTAAAACTGATTGCAAAATCAGAATGTAAACGCGTGATTTGACCCTATATCTAAATGTCGATATAGGTTTTTTCCAAATCTTGTACCAATTATACCCCTGTAGATTCTGGCCCATTGTTCAATGTCGCGTACAATACAGTATAAACCATTGGAATGAATTTCCCTCATTTAGTCTCTCATTTAGTGGCTACACTGCCAAATATGGATACATTTTTCGCAGATATGGGTACACCGGAAGATGGCTACAGAAGCCTCGCGATAATTCTTCTTCGAAAAAGTACCGTTTTATTTCAAATCCTAGGCTCTCTAATATCACACCCCCTTAAAAGTCGCAATAAAAATAACCCTCGTTTCAGTGGCTGTTAACTCTTTCGACAGAGGAGACCCACCTGCCCTTTTTAGTACTTGAAGCTTGAAGCTGGCTGACCTTTCCCGCAGAGCAGGTTCTTCAACAGAGGTAAAATTCGTAAGTTTGGTCCCCAGAACGCATGATTATAAATTATAACCCTAACCTATTTCAAAAACTAATACCGTAAAAACAGTAAAGGGTAAGTAAATAAGAGTCACATGATTAAAAGGGGGCTTCGCCCCAATAATAAAAATATTTAAAAACGTAATAATGGCACACGTCACATATTAAAGCTAGACGCGATCTACCGCAAGAGACATTATAATTTGAGTCGTACCGTAGTGAGCTCGTACTTATCCGAAACGAAACACAACGACTGGCTGTGAAGTTTGCCGTTGTTGATAGTCTTCAGTTACACCTCACTACCAATTTTCCAGGTCCATCAAACAGTTCAATTGCAGGTTATTCAAATTTCCGGAGCCCCAATACCCCGCGTGATCGAGATGATAGGACAAACTTCTTTCCCCATACGACCGACGCTGAGTTTAGCTGAAAGACCCGACGTTCTTTTGCCAGGACGTTGGTGCTAGTTTGATCGATCCGATACTATGCACTTGTGCATGCTGGTACGGTGTGTGCCTGTATATTTCATGTTTATATTAAGCTGTGCGTGCGGATGAGGATGACACTCAAACTTAGGACACCTTCCGAGAAGCAATTGCTCCGTGTGGACTGCTGTTGTATTCATACTGCCTGAGTCCGCATTTTGTTTCACTGTGTGTATATCTTTGTATGTAAGCGAGGATGAAAGAAAGGATATCTGTGTTTGTTTGAGGCGATCATCGTGTTGCTGCTGAAAACAAAATCACTTTCTGCTGCCTTCCAACTGAGCTTGTTTATTGTGTGCTGTGAGTGAGTGTGTGTCGTGCGAGAAGGTGATGATTCAAATATGCATAGTTCAACTGAACGCTCCCAAGGCTGCTGTTGATAACATTCCATCAAAGTCTTTCGCTCCTATCTGATTCTCCACGACCAAGAATTGTATGTTTTGAATTTAGTGAGTCATCCTGTTGTGCGTGCACCGCGAAGCTGGAAGGAGTGATGAATATGACATAATGGGAATCTCTCTGAAGGGCTGTAGTGGCTCTTAATGTGTAGAGAAGCAAAAGTCATCCTTGCGCTGACCTTCTCAACTTGCAGCACGGGTATGTTTTCGCGATTGAAATGATGTTTACAAGATAATCCAACTCTGAAGCCTATGTGTAGATTGAAATCTAAGAGCTTTTTAACCCTGATCAATCGCAATCAAATCAATCTTCATTTTTCTCTTCTTTCGAACATGCCTGTAGTAATTGTTTGTTGCACGTTAAAACACAACAGCGGCAATAAACGAGTATACTTCAGACGTGGATTTCATTAAGCAATACTACAAGTAGTAGTAAGAGCGTATCCAAAAGCGAATATCGGTACTTTTAGACTTCGGATCTGATCGATGCGGGGCAGAAAACCACGTTGGTGGCAGGAAATCCTGCGCTGTCCGGATCTGCAGACGAACTCGGAACACACTTTCTCATTTCCCAGGCAGGGTGTCTGTATGTTCCACAGTAAGCTTGGTATCCGTTACTCCGCTTAGTACCAGCTACTTCGATTCATGCACCGGGCAGCAGCGTCTTTAGATCCAAACCTGCTATCCCGGTATTCACAAAGCCTTCAAGCCTGCCACTTTTGCTCGCTAACTGCGACATGGGCGGGATTTATTCAACTGCCGTGCTGTCACTGCGTTTCCACCTCCGGACTCGCCATCCGCGAAAAGGAGAAAGCACGTCTCAGCTGTATAGACTTGTCACTTTTGTCCCTCTGCATGCGCTGCCCATTTACGCTCCTGAGTGCTCGCTACCGGGGCGTCGCTCCAATGAGGGACAGCCGTCATCATGGCTGGTTTGTGGTGATTAACACCTATCGCAGCAGCTCCATTTCCTGCTGCGCTCGATAGCTTCCAGCCATATTGTCTTGTTCAGCATTTTGTAACGCTCCAAGATGCAAATGTAGCCATGTTCAAGACATTGCTGGCTATTATTGTAGGTACTGAAATGTTGAACGGCTATTTTTGTAGTTGTTGAGCTCATTGGATTGGTTAAAACGTTTATGCCAAGTCTTTAAAGGCAGGCTATAACGGTAATACTTGGAATATGTATACTGTGATGGGAAGACTGGAGGGAAGCGGGTTAGACTGGGGGGATAGTCATGCCCATACATTCGCGAAAAAGGCCGACGGACATCATCGATCGCTATGGAGGGGCTGGGCGTCGTGTACGAGCAGGAGGAGCCTGTGGTAGACATCCAGCAGACGCCCACGGGGGGCAACCACGCGGCTGCGGTGTCTGCGCCGAACCACGAGGCTGAGGACGACGATGAGATCCGCGCTCTGGCTAGCAATCCGGACGACCTGGACGCACAGCAGCAGCAACCGACTCAGACCCAGCAACAGCCTCAGCCTCAGCCTCAGTACAACGCGCCTGGTGGGTACGGGGACTACGCACAGAGTAGTGGCCAACATCCGCAGCAACTTATGGAGCACCACCATGGCTACGACAAGAACGGAAGCAGTGCGCAGCCAGGCAAGCTCTTTATCGGCGGCGTGTCTTGGGAGACCACGGAGGACACACTGCGCCAACATTTTGGCAAGTATGGTGCGCTCACGGACGCGGCGCTGATGAAGGACAAGTACACGGGCCAGCCACGAGGCTTCGGCTTCGTGACATTCGCTGACGCCACAGGTAGAAAACACGAGACAAATGTGCAGACACTTTATTGAGTTGTTATGCTGACACTATGCTGTAATTGATGCAGCGATTGACCGCGTGCTGGACGAGACGCATACACTGGACGGCCGGACGGTGGAGGTGAAACGCGCGATTCCAAGGGAGCGAACGGCGCCGGGCTCGAGGTTAGTATCACCCCACGCCCCGCAGTGGAAGACTCAAGGCTGGCTGCTGCCTGTACTATTTATTTATTTATTGGAGAGAGAAGAAAGCAAAAAAAAAGAGAGAAACAGACAGAGAAGGGCAGGAAGGAAGCAGGGAGAGAGAGAGAGAGCAAGCAGCACAGGACAAGAACAAGAGAAATCACCTACTCAACATAAAAGAATGGCGTTTGCTCGCCTCCTTGTGGCCCATCATGCTCGACCCTCGCTCTCTCCGTCCAGCCCTTCTCCATCTGGAGGGGCTTTGGCATAGAATTAGACTGTGTAGCAGCAAGCAAGCAAACAGATCACGGCCCTGCCCGGTATGACGGCGTCGACTAACTTGCCGTGTTCCTATCTGATGTAATGTAGTAGCGATTTCCGCGGCGGACGCGGCGGATACAGCAGCGGTGGCTTTACGGAGCAGAAGAAAATCTTTGTGGGTGGTCTCGCCCCCACCGTAACGGAGCAGGACTTCCGTCACTACTTTGAGGAGTTTGGCAAGATCACAGATGCCGTGGTTATGATCGACCGCGACACGCAGCGCTCACGTGGATTTGGCTTTATCACGTTCGAGGAGGAGGTGCGTTGGAAATGTCGGCGCATTTAGGCCTAAGAGCCTGCATCTAACGCTCGTTTGTCTATTTCCTGTTTAGTCGTCAGTAGCTGAAGTGATCAGCAAGAACCACGAAATTCACGGCAAGACCGTCGAGATTAAGCGCGCAGAGCCTAAGGAAGCCCGTGGTGGCGGTGGCGGCTATGGTGGTGGCCGTGGAGGCCGCGGAGGCGGCTGGCGAGGTGGAGGGGGTCGTGGTGGCGGCGGCGGTGGCTATGGTGGTGGCTATGGTGGCTATGGTGGAAGCTACGGCGGTGGTTATGGTGGCGGCTACGGTGGCGGCTACGGAGGTGGTTATGGTGGTGCTGCTGCATACGGCGCTGGTGGTTACGGAGGTTACCCGCAGTCATATGCCGGCTATGGCTATGGTGGCTATGGAGGTCGCGGTGGCTACGGCTACGGTGGCTACGGAGGTTACGGCGGCTATGGTGCTGGAGGTGCCGGTGCTGGTGGCGAAGGTGCCGGTCAGGAAGGTGGTGCAGGTGGAGAAGAAGGGGGATACGGTGAAGATGGAGCCCAGCAGGGAGGCCAGGGCGGCCAAGGGGCTGCTGCTAGTGGCTACGGTTATGGCGGCGGCTATCGCCAGGGAGGAGGCTCCGGTGGTGCTCAAGGAGGTTCTGGCGGACGATCGGACCGATACCGCCCGTACTAAGCATTCACGCGACGAAGAAACGAAGGCTGAGCAAAATCTGCCTGCGCACACAACCTATCAGGGTGTGCTTGTTTATCGTCTCGCGCCAGCTGCATCAACCTCTCGGCTTCGACTCCTCCAGCTCGTACCTGTTGCTATCCAATCAATACTTTTTGAATAACGCCCGCTTTTTAAATTATCTCCACGCAGAAGTTCTGCTAGATGCACTTACGTTGCTTCCTTCGTGTACATGTAATACGTGTTCATACCCCTGACAGTGACTTTGGCGTAATTTTGATAGACTAATTTTTCTTACAAAAAATTACGGTATTTTGTTTACAAAATCCAAATCATCGTAGTTTTGCTACGATGGCAGGCCGCTTCCCCCCGCAGCAACCGCAGATGCAAGACCCAGCCAATACCAGCGGGACTGCCACGCCTTCGATAACGAGGGCTTCTCCGTTTGCGTCCGGGTAGATTCTTCTTCGCTACTGTGCTACGCCAACGTGCCGCTGTTCTCACTTGTCCACTGTGATAATCTCTGTACATGTATTATACCTCAGTCCTGTAGCGATGGTGAATCAGGTTCGGCCTGGGTTTGGCGGGCCTGGGCAATTTCCTGGTGAGCTTTGCTTCTTTGCTCTAGATCGCAGAATTATGTCATTCATGTTGTGTTTGCTTGCGCTACTCAGGTCACGCAGTGCGCACTGCTCCAACACAATTGTCCACGCCCCTCGTTCCGCAGCGTCATTTATCGGCGTCGATGGCCAGCACTTCATCCGATCCGTCGCCGTCACTTTTTGGCGACAGACCTATTGCCCAGCAAGATACAGCCAGTGATTTATTTGGACAAACCGCACCGCCACCAGCGCAATCTGCAGCCGACCTCTTTGGACAAACCTCGCCCGCGCCTTCACAACGGTATCGATCCAGCACCGACCCGTTTGGCAGCCCTTCTGGATCATTCCAGATGCAGCACGGGCCCAATGAAGTACCAAGCGGAGGTGGTGGAACATTGTCTGAAGAGTTATTCGGTCCGGCTTCTGCGCCAAGGCAATCAAGCCAGCAAGACAACTACGAGAGCTTGTTCCGCAGCCCAGAAAAAGCGTCGACATCAACTGCCCCTCATCTATCGCGGCATTCGTCGCTGAATTCTTCTCAGAGCCCGACACCCTCGCCATTTAGCAAGTCCCTTCCTCCTCCATCCCACCCTCGTGCTAACCAGCAACACTCCCTGTACCAACAGCAACAACAGCAACAGCAACAGCAACAGTCGTCCTCACGGTCATTTGGACAAGCACCGCCTCCTGCTGCACCATTTTTGGGCTATGCAGACAACACCCGGTCGCAATCTTTCCGTGTTCCTCCTGCACAAGCACCTACGCCAGGATCGCTGTTCCCTGACGCACGAAGGATCCCCTCCCCGTCAAGATCAGTTCCCTCTGCATCACCGGCACCTCCTCCGACATCCCCTCAAATTACGGTTGACGCTCCATCTTCAGACGCACTTGTCGATGAGTTTTTGAAAATGCCAGTTGACGAGCGTTTTGCAGAATCTGAGAATGCCACCCCTCCCGCTAGCAAGTTGCTTCTTGCAGATATCCCAGACACGGTTGAAGGGCTGAAAGCGTTGTATGCACAGAAGCGGTGGAAATCTTTGACGAAAAAATCCCTGTCAATGCTGCAGAACCCGCCAAAAGATATTAATGTGACGCTGGAGATCAAGTCCTGGTGGCTTGCCGGACTCATTAAGGAAGGACACTACGACAATGCGGCAAGTGTGCTGGACCAAATCGGTGATCTTGACGAAATATCTGTGGTAGGGGGCACTCCTTTTGTACCAATTCGTCTGCTTCTCCTTCAAGCGTTACTGAGCAAGTGTCAAGGAAAGTCTGCGAGCCACGAAAAGCAGTTATTTCACCTGATAACGCGGCTGAGAGGCGCAATTCAGCAGAACGAGACGATTGCTCTCCTGGATGTTGATCTGAAAGTAGCCGCGCAATGGCTACGAATCGCACAGTTTGCACTTGCGAACCACCTCGTGCACCAGCAAAAGTTCATGCTGGCTTTGCGTATCTGCTCTCACATTGATGTACGTGCCGGCATTTAAAAAAGCTCTCTCATATTGTACAGAGGACTTACGCTGATGCCAATGACATGTCTAAATAGGTTAAATTCTTGGAGGATGCAGAAAGAGTTGTTGTGCTGTCCCGCGTGGGGCGTATCCGTCTACAGATGGGCGACCTGACAGCAGCAGAAAAGTTGTTCGAAGCCGCTCGCTATCACACTAGTCAGCTAAAGACGGGGAGTGGCAATGGCGCCGGTGTAACGGCGGAAGTGCTGGCAGAGCTGGAAGCACGTGTGCTATTAAACGACGGTCTGCTATTCTTCGCACAGAACAAGCTGCAGGAAGCGCTGAGTGCGTTTGATTCCATTCTGTATATGCAGAATGCACAAAGCGCGACTGCCGAGAACTCCGATGCGGAGCTTTTCCTCGAGGAAGATGTCGTTTGCTCGGCAGTCAACAACTACGCAATCTGTGCGCTTTACTGTTGCGACGTCAAGGCGGCCGTGGCTGCGCTGGAACGGATGATCAGGTCAAACCCAAAGCGGTTCCTCAACGGCGTGGTTGTGTTCAATCTCAGCTCGCTCTACGATCTTTTGTTTGACAACGCCACAAGCAAGAGCCGAAAAGAAATGATGAAGAAGATCGCTCACCTGTACGACCTCGAGCATGTTGATCCCGCTACATACCGCATTTAATGAAGGTGATTTTCACACTTCATGTTTTTTGCTTTTTTGTCGCTTCACGGTTGTCTTCACTACCAGAAGCTCCTTCCTCTCCCCCTTCGTCATCGCCGAAGTGAAGATGACCACCGCCCACCGCTCGTTTTCGGCGCCTCTTTTTCTTCTTTCCAGCGGCATTACTCATTACATCGCAAGTAGAGGAGTTATCTGGCGTGCTAGCGCTGTCTACCTTGTCAATATCATTGCCTGTTGCTAAGTCTCCGTCTGGACAGGACAGCTGCCGCTTCAACTGTTCCTTCATCTGGATCCATCGCGTCTTGCTCATGACACGAATTCCGCGCAGATCAGCATCCGAGGACTTGGCAGAAGCGTTGTTGGCAGCACTTTGATCGGAGAATTCCACAAAGCCAAACCCTTTGAACTTCTTGCTCTGGGGGAATCTGGGCAGACTCACCAGGTTTACCTTGCCGAACTTGGCGAAGGTTCGCCGTAGCGAATCGTGGTCATCTGTCGCACTGAAGCTGTCGATGTAGATAGTGCGGGCGTCTGCAGTAGAGAGGTCAGCTTCATCAGTTATTATAGCATCGTTTGGTCACACATTTATGACCGTCGTACCAGCTTGGAGATCCTGGCCAGCTACCGGCACAACCTTCGGAGCGATGCAGCAGCTCGCGCGATCAACTCGAATCGTCGACGACTTTTCGGCCTCATCCAGTATCATGCGCTCCGTTGCATTGAGAGACTTTAATCTGTTTATGCAATGGATTTCATCAGTTAGCAGCCAAGTGGGCACCAAGTTGTGCAGCCAGCAGTACTTGTTGAAGGACAGGAACACGCGCACGGGAATAAAGCCCTCTTCGTCCATGGTCTGCTGCAGGAACTTGTCCTGGCGGAGGTTGCTCTCGCTCATATAAAACTCCAGCTGCCGCTGCAGCCGCTTGCGTTGCGACTTGCCTGCCGCCTTCACCTCCATCGAAAGATAATAACCGCGAGCGAGCGTAACCGGGGTACAGAGGTACACTAATAAGATCGAGCGCTGGCGCTAAAGTGGGAGACCAAGTCGCTCGTAGCCAAGTAGTCCCGAAACATATGGGGAGATCAAAGCGTTGTTGGCGTTGGATAGTCCACCCTCGATCGCCGCTTCGTGCGCCCCCTCGTCGTCAAAAGGTGCTGCGGTGCATGTACGCACGAGTTGCAATGGCAGACATGACGTCCGTCGAGGAGTTGCCAAAGCAATGTTCAGTGCGTCTGCAATGCAGATTGTAGACTGCATGTGCCCTAGAAACGCTAGTTTGGTAGACACAATGTTTGGTATATGGGCAGCAGCCGATGTTGCTTTTAGATTCCTCGCTTGACAACTACGGCAGGAGACATGCTCCACGTCGCACATATCCTCATCCTCAAACCGGTGTGAAGCTTTTTGAGTAAGACGCCAAACTCCTACGTATTCATATCGGCTACTTGAAGAAACGGCTATAGAGCGGGTGCTGTGCATACAAACTTCAAGTTGTTCTAAAATTATGTCGGTTGGGTTGGAAGATCCAAGAATAGAATCGATCAGAGAAGCCAAACGCCAAAGTTGCACTCGCACCAAAAGAGAGCGAAAACGACCAAGCGGGCAGCACATTCAAACCTGCCGCCTCCTGCTCGCAACATCCTCCCTGACGAAGCACTCGGAGGGACGACGAAATGTTCGACGACCTGTTCAAGTTGCTCCGCAGCCCGCGCTGGGTTAACTCGCCCATTGCGCGCCGCTTCGGCTTCGGCTCCGAACTGTCCTACGAGGAAGACGAGCTGGGTAAGTCTGGGATGATGCGGTAGTTTGTGATATACTCATTGGCCAGCCCGCTGACATCAGTGCCGTTGTTGTAATTATCTGCAGAGGATTCGCCGTCGAATTGGACCAAGATCTCCACATCCGGTCACCGCCCGCCAGTGCGCAGCGGTCACTCGTCTCTAGTTGGTGCGTTCTATACTTTCGGAGACTTGTCCATAAGCTACATGCTAACGAATACGTTGTGCTGTTTACCATAGTTGGCGACATGATGTACGTGTTCGGCGGCTACAACGACGGGAACTGCCACAACGACATCTATGCATTTGACCTCGTGCGGCACCATTGGATTCACATCGAGACGTCTAACGGCATATCGCCTGGTACGACTTCCTGCAACGCGTTTTCCGTTGGTTTTGACGGTTTAACTCATTCCATATACCCGGTTGTCTTGCAGATGGCAGAGCTTCACACGCCTGGTGCACTTCAACAGACAAAACGAAGCTATACCTGTTCGGCGGATCGGGGCCGCACTGGGGACAGACTAACATGGGCAAGCTGTTACAATTCAATATTCGCGATAAGAACTGGACGATTGTCGAAGCGCAGGGTACGCAACCGCCACCGGGATACGGACAGAGTCTGTGTGCTATCAACAATAAGCTGTACCTCTTTGGCGGCACATCCGGACACGTATACGTGAACGATCTCTACGTCTTTGATGAAGTTACCAAGGTCTGGAAGAAGGAGGAGACCGGTGGCAAGCGCCCCAGCCCTCGGTACAAGCATCAAGTGGCCATGGTCGGAAATCGCATGTATGTCGTGGGAGGTGGTCTGTACGATCCTCCTAAAGGGCCCATCGACACGTACTATCTCGATGTGGACACGCTTGTATGGCACGAAGTGGAATGCGGCGGTGATATTCCAAAGTCTCGCATCGCACACACGATTTCACAACTGGCAAGTGACCCTTCTCGGTTGATCATGTTTGGAGGACGCGACGACAGCGGATCGCGGCAGAACGAGCTTAGCGAGTTGAATTTGCGGACTGGTGAATGGCGAATCTACTACAACGAGGAGGGTTTCCAGCCGGACGCTCGTGATTTCCATACGAGCGTGGTTCACAACGATCGCATCTTCGTATTCGGTGGATCCAATGGCGTGGAGCGCAACAATGACGTCTTCCGCTACACGATGACACACCAACCGTCAACGCTGCTGATCCTAGCTATGCAGGTTCTGCACCAGAATCTGGATTACATTCCGAATGAGGATTTGGAAGCGCTACCATTTGAGCTAAAGATCGGCATCCAAAATATTAACCCCGACGTCGAATGTTCCTTCAACCCGACCTGGTACATGCTTGAAGACCAGAAGCAAGAAAATGCGGCACCAGTGATGTAGAGGGATTTTCACGCGGATAGATTGTACGTTATTGAAGCAAACGAGATAAATTAATTATTTGACTGAAATGAAATAGCATCAAAACACCACACACTGAGCGTTGCGACTGCTTTTGTGGCTTGATTCATTCGTCCGAATCCGTCACCCCGCCTGCATAAAGCTGAATAGAGCACTCGGCTTCGGGCATCCACGGACTGTCGATGATCTTGCTGTACAACACCACGTTTTAAAGTGGCGTCAAGTCGCAGAAGACATGGGTTTGAAACATAATCCGATTCATTCATACCAGAAGCGATTTTCAGCCCGCCCTTTCTTCATCTACAATGCATCGTAAATGTTTGTTCAGCTGAAACGATGCTTGTTCTTCCTGGCATTTCGAATAGCTTACCAGCACACGCGTGTGAACTCCGTGCGACATCACATGACCTCCAACAGGCTTCATCTCTGAGCCAAACAGAGCATTTGCTCCGGGATCTGCCATCATTTGGTTGACCAAAAGAACCGCAATATTGAATTCCTACGGAGGGCTATTAGTCTGACGCACCATTTCATAGTGCTAAAGAACCTACCTCTGCGTGTTTTACAAGCCGAACAAGATGTTGATTCAGCCGCTGTTGTCTTTCACTGAGTTCGCCTCTATTTATCGCATCGTCATGACAAATTAAAATTTGATCTATCATGAAGCAATGAAATGCGTTCCTACCTCCCAGAGAAGTCCGTGCGAAATAACGCGGTCACTGAATCGATGATCAGCAGGCGAAATGGTCCTTGGTCAGGGTCCTGTACAAGGAAGACGTAAGTGTGGTGAAGCAGAATTGCTATCGCATAGGTCCTCAAAAATGCTTACCGCGAACATAACGCCAAGCTTGATCACGAAGGCCATCTGAGCATCGTGACTATGAGCTCTGTGCGTGCATTTAGCGTTTCCACTCTAGTTGCTGTTGCTGAAATTAATATCTTACCTAGCCACGATGATGTTGTCAAGGACATCGACTGGGTCCTGAAACAATTGCCAGTCAGACATCGAGAAAATTCAATACCAGCAATCCACTTGATAGTACGAACCAGATTGTATCTTTCTTTGGCGATTTCAGCGACGCGGTTCTACCAAGAGCACAATATTTAGCCACTGGTATGCTGGAACGGTAACGAGCACTCAACTGTACCGGTCGAAAAGTTCCCTCGGTATCGATGAAGGCAACTTTCCCTGTTCAAAAAAGAAAATGTAAACAATTTCTGCTTGCTGTGGTTAGATCTTGCATCGATCATACCTGCCCCTCCACCACAAGAACGAGGTAATTGCGCTGTCACACAGAGCTACAGGAATCACAGACGATTAAGCGATCTCGCTAGACTATGGCTGTTAAAGTGCTACTGCCAGCAATAAAGTTGATGAACGTACAGTGTGGCACAATTGGGTTTTGCCTGTTCGGAATTCTCCGTGTACCTACGCAAAGCAAACGATGGTTCAGTCTAGAAAGAAGGAGCACTCACATGTTAGAGCTTCGTTTGTGTTTACCTCTGTTACGGACATTGTTTCCACACCTCCCCCAAGAATTTGATCTAGCCCTGTAAACAATAAAATAGAAGTATTTCTTTAGCGTAGCGCAGAACGCTCAAATGAAGTCATGCTTACGCTGTGATCCAGTGGTGATAAAGATTCTGCTTTGACTCTGTTGATAAAGTGCGCTGGCCGACACAAATCCGCTCTTTTCGGGCATAATCTGTGGTTCCCCAGCATTGGAGTGTTAGCTCTAGTGTATAGAATTCCCATCTGCAATGAAAAAGAAACACCTTTTTGCCTGCTTGAAGGAGCTGATCACACGCCACGCCATGTCAAAGGACCTTGTACAACATGTCTGAAGTAACAGTGCAATACCTTGACTCTCTTGGCTTCGCTAATCCCCTTCACGTCTAATAGCCTTTTATGGGACACTTGGAAAAGCTGCCCGATGGTTGCGAAGCCGTCGTTCTTGAGCTTGGCGATGTCTGTTGGTTTGACTCCAGCATCTTGAAGCAGGTCGATCGGCTCATACGAGCGCAAGCTGTCATGTTCTTCGTCGTCGCTGTCGACTACGCGCAGTGTCGCTGCCATCTGTAGCCCCGTTCCCCTTGCACTACGTTCACTGCACAGGAGCTCGTGTAGGTCAGTCGAGGCTTCGTCAATCTCTCCCCATTCAGCATGTATTGCACCTTGAGATGCCCATAATATCGTGCTACTACGCCGGGCGTCTGCTGTGCTTGACCGCGCGGATTCGAAAGTGAAGGCGGCAATGCGGAACAGAGTGATGGTCAGGGAAACGTGTATAGTTGAAGTATAGTTGAAGTTGCTGGATTTCAGTGTATACGTACGCTGCGTTTTGTCTGTCTATTCACTCACACCACACACGTCAGGTGAAGGTGGGCCGTGGTGGTAAGGTTCGTGGTGCATCTAGCCATTCTCCCTGCCTCTCTAATAATACCGTCCGCCACGCTGCATGTGAAGATCCACGATTCTCCAACGGAGGGTTTCCTGCTCCTCATCGTAGTCGCGCTGGAAGGCAAAGATGTAGTAGTAGGCCAGTACTTCGTCCTCGGATCCTTCCACAACTTCTCCCTCACGGTTGCGGATGCAGTTGATCTGCTGTGCCTGGAAACGCATCAGGATGATAGGGGCCTGCTTGTCTTCAGCCTATATAACAACATGGTTTTAGTGCATGAAGCATCACAACATCACCGAACATGAACAACTTCGTACCGTAGCCTCAATGACTTCCACGTTGTCGATGCTGAGTACGTGCGGGTCCATTACCAAGCCCTCCGACTTTCGCTCACGAATTGCGATGTTCACACGAGAGTACGCTGCCTCACCGAACCACTTCTTCAAGTCACGGCTGTTACCACGAAGGAACGCCTCCAGCACTCCAGGCAAAACAATTTCCTCGATATTTTCCTTCCATTCCTCAAGGATGAAGTCGGGCTCAGCGCGACGGATCTCCTTAATCGCAACACCCATCGGGGTTTCGCCAAAAAGCCCGTCATAGATCGAAGACAATCGGTACACCCAAGGGTTCTGACTGGTCTCCCAAACCTCCAACACCTCTTCCTGGGCATCGCTGATCTTGTCCTTCACCTGCTTCGTCGTCTGCTGAACCTTCTTTCCGGCCTCCGTCTTAGCCGCCTGCTTTGCAGCATCTAGAATACCCTGAATAATCGGAGCTTCGCGGAAACGAGCGCTCACACGCTGCCAAGCGCTCTCCTCCTCTTTCACCGCCACCAAAGCGCTGGTGCCAGTGTATTCTGTCGGTTCCTCATCCTCACCCTCCGACTTCTGTGGCTTCTGAACCGAAGGGGTTCGAACCGAGGCCAGGGCCTCATCAACCGTCTGCTTTTCTCGCTTACCAAAAAGCTCTTGCGCAGCCTCCTTCCACTCGTCCCGCAGCTTGGGGAATTTGCTCGGGTGGATCAGCTTGTTCTTCTGGGCGGCGATACTGGTGAAGAAGTTTCTCACAAAAGCACGCGCACCATCCAAAGAATCGTCGGTCGGTTCAGGTTTCTGTACGTCAAAAACAAGTGAGAGCATTAAACGGTTTGCAATTGTCAGGTCAAAAGATACAGACATATTTTGAGCATACCTCGCCTCCTTCCATCTTGGCACCGTCATTCTTGGTATCATCAGCAGCAGAAGCATCCGCTGAGTCCGCCGGTTTTACATCCTCTTTCTCCTTCTTAGCATCGGCAGCGGCCTTGGCAGTTTCCTCGTAGGATTCCTTGATCTTCTGCGAGGCCTGCGAAGCTTGCTCCTGAAAGCTCTTAGCTGCCTCTTCAGTCATGGAGCTCACCTCACTCATCTTCTCCTTGGCGGCCTTTTCCACGTTCTTAAACTGTTCCTTGGTCTTCTCTAGCTCCTCAAAGGACTTCTTAAGCTCCTCGTTCTTCTCCATCTCGTTCTTGAGCTGGTTTTTCAAGTCCGAAAAGAAACCCATAGCCCGGGATTGCGACTGAACATGCTTCGGCAAACGCGAGAGTGTAATCTGGTTGTCGCGAGGCACAGTGAGGCGCGCGCGGCGCAGGGCACGCGTGGAGAGGCGAAGCATGATGCAACGGGGGTTGGAGCAGATGTGCGGTGGATGGCACTCTGGTGATACATTCCAGAAATCGGACATAGCCGAAGTTTTGTTTTTGGCCAATCCCCGTTCATCATTTGACACACTGCGTCCCCACCAGCCAAAAATCGTTAACGAGCTTGGCTACGAGCTTGCGGGTTTCATTTTTTGGTGAAACGTCACAGTCGATTGGTTGGCGCTAGTTGGTAAAATGGGCAAGAAGACGCGACGCAAAGGAACGAACTCGTCGGAGGAGAAGGATGCAGAGTCCAAGGAGGTCGCCGCAGTAGCGGCGCCGCACGTAGAAACCACCGCTATTGCTGGCGACAAGAAACAGAAGAAGAAAAAGTCGAAGAAGGCCAAAAAGGAGCAAGAAGCTGAGCCTGCTGAGATTGTGGAGCAGGATGAAGAGGAGCAGGAGCCCGAGGCGAATGTGGACGATGAGCAGGACGAGGAGACAGAGCAAGCCATTGCCGAAGCTACCAACCTGGCTGAGAGTAATGTGGACGAGCGCTACTTCTCCAGCGAGGAATTCGCCTCGTTGCCACTGTCTGAACCAACCCGCAAGGCGCTGGCTGACATGGGATTCACCAAGATGACCAAGATCCAGTCGAAGTCGATTCGTCCGCTGTTGGCCGGTCAGGATCTGCTGGGTGCGGCCAAGACGGGTTCCGGCAAGACGCTGTCGTTCTTGATTCCGGCGGTCGAACTGCTGCACAAGGTGCGATTCACGGCACGTAAGGGCACGGGATGCATTGTCATTTCGCCCACGCGTGAATTGGCGCTACAGATTTACGGCGTTGTACGTGACATCTGTAAATACCATTCGCAGACGCACGGTATCGTTATGGGTGGCGCCAACCGCCGTGCCGAGGCGGAGCGCCTGGTGAAAGGTGTGAACATCCTGATCTCGACACCAGGTCGTCTTCTGGATCATCTGCAAAACACGAAGGCATTCATCTACCACAACCTGCAGATTCTCGTGATCGATGAAGCTGATCGCATTCTGTCTATTGGTTTTGAGGAGGAAATGCGCCAGATCATTAAGTGCATTCCGAAGGAGCGGCAGACGATGTTGTTTAGTGCTACACAGACAAAGAAGGTAGAAGACCTCGCTCGTTTGTCCATCAAGGAGAAACCTGTGTATGTCGGTGTTGAGGAGGAAGACACGAAGGCCACAGTTGCCACGCTGGAACAGGGTTACGTCGTAACGCCGAGTGACAAGCGTTTTCTCCTTCTGTTCACTTTCCTCAAGAAGAATCTGAAGAAGAAGGTGATGGTTTTCTTCTCGTCATGTAGCGCTGTCAAGTTCTACGGTGAATTGCTCAACTACATTGACATTCCCGTACTGGACATTCACGGCAAGCAAAAACAGAACAAGCGTACGACCACATTCTTCCAGTTCTGTAACGCGAAGACGGGTATTTTGCTGTGTACGGACGTGGCAGCGCGTGGTCTTGATATTCCTGCTGTGGACTGGATTATTCAGTTTGACCCGCCTGATGACCCTCGCGAGTACATTCACCGTGTGGGTCGTACTGCTCGTGGTGCTAAGGGCAAGGGTAAGGCGCTGCTTATGCTTTTGCCCGATGAGCTTGGTTTCCTGAAGTACTTGAAGGCTTCAAAGGTGGCGCTTAACGAGTACGAATTCCCGGTGTCAAAGATCGCCAATGTTGAATCTCAACTCATGAAGCTCGTGGAGAAGACGTACTATTTGCACAAGTCCGCCAAGGATGCCTACCGCGGATATCTGCTGGCGTACGCTTCGCATTCTTTGAAGGGCATTTTCGATGTTGGTCGTCTCGACTTGCAGGGGGTGGCCAAGTCATTCGGACTGCAGGTTCCGCCCAAGGTGACGCTTCCTGTGAAGACGAATGGCAAGACTGGCAAACGCAAGGGCACGTCCTTCGACAACGATGGCAGTTCGCGTGGTGGCAAGTTCCAGCGCTCCGGTCACGCATTTAGTGCTGATAACCCCTACGGTAAGCGTGCTGCGGGCGACAAGCGCCAGTTTGCTCACTGATAAGGTTTGCTGGTTGCTACTATGTAAACAATGGCTTTGCCACTTCACGTCCCTTTTTGCAATATAGACCGAGCTACTTACTTCTGTTTGTCGTTTTTGTTCGGACTTCTGTCAATCTGTGAGGAGGAGGACATTTAAAGACAAGAGTATAGCGTCACGAGTACAAATCGTTGCTAGCTATATGTACAAACAGCTCAGTTGCGATTGATCATCGACGACGCTTGCGACGATTGAAGCCTCCTCCTAATGCATTTGCGCTGCCGAAGCTATTGCCACCTCCCGCTGCAGCACCTCCAAAGCCAAACTGTCCTCCAGCAACACCTGCAAATCCGTTGTTGCCAGCTTGGTTGAAGTTCCCCATTGCGCCGCCTTGACCACCGAAGCCACCAAACGTGTTGCCACCTTGCATACCGACACCCATTGGCTGACCGAAGCCACCTCCACCGTTTCCATTGAAGAAGCCCCCGCCCATACCAGCACCAGCTCCAGGACCGCCGAGCATGCCGCCACCAAGAGCACCCATCCGATTCGCTCCACCGAATCCTCCCATCGAGTTCGCAGCTAACCCGCTGCCAACTCCGCCAGCGAGTGCGCCACCATTTGCGGGGATTCCACTGCCGGCACCTGGAGCACCAAGTCCAGCTCCGAACGCGTTACCGTTTCCTCCGAAGCCTGGCGACGGTGGAACTCCGGTCATGCCTGCAGCACCGCCTTGAGGTGCGGTGACTGGTGCTGCGGGTAGTTGAGCACCAGAAATTCCTCCATTGGCCTGGCCAGTCGGTGCTGGTGTGGGTCTCGATCTTCCGGGTGTAGTGGCTGCAGGGGTTGGTGCTGGACGTCCACCTGGAATCGTCGGGGCTGGAGTCACAGGTCCAGGAGCACCAGGTCCGGGAGCACCCGGTGCAGCAGCAGCAGCGCCAGGGGCTGCAACAACATTGTTGTTCGAGCTTACAACAGCATTGTTGGAGTTCGCCACCACCGCCGACGGAACGCTGACCGGAACTGGAATGAGCTGCGGCACCTCGACGGGAACGGGAACCGGAATAGCGATCTTCTTGACTTTCTTGACGGCTTTCTTGACGTGGTGGTGGTGGTGATCCTTTCTGCTCTCATCGTCTTCCGTTGCTTGGGTATCAGCATTGACTCGTAGACCACGAAGCGAAGGTGTAGCTTGAACTTCGTCCGATGCAACGAAGAGACCCAGCGCTAGGAAGGTGGCGAATGCAGCGGCGCTTTTCATCGTGAGGCGATGTGGTTGGCTTGTTGCTTGTAAAATGAAGAGTGAACTATGAAGTACGGTTGTTTTACATGGCGGTGTCCTCACGGCATTCGAGCATAGATATGAAAGGGGGTTATTGACCGAACTTCTTGCTACGTTCGCTTCCTCTCATTCGAGGCGTCGAACATTGGCGACGATGGAGAATGCGCTGGTGTTGGAGACTTCATTTGATAAAACCAACCACTTTAAGAAACACTGGAAATATAAGATGTTAAAAAGAATGATCCAAGAGAGTAAAAGGACTTGGTACTTACTGAGACCAGCGATCTTGAAATCATTCTGCGCACTACGTTCTAGTAGGACTTCGCGAATTTATGCACTGCTCGATTCTTGCTAGAAGACACTCCGCCAGAATCCACTCAATTCGCCTCCGCATCCAGTAAACGGCGAGGCTTCCATGTTAACATCATTTGCTCTGTAACTGTTCTTCCAGCAATTACAGTCTTTCATGTAGAACTCTGGGCAATCAAATCCCGTTTGAATGACGGAAGAAAACTAACTTGGCTTGCGCAATAGTTCATCAAATACAGCAGAAGCTGGCAGCATGTCATGCCAATGTCTCAATATCCTGAACGAACAAAATTAATTAGGCGGTATCTCGTTACCACATTAGCTAAGCACTCATGAAAAAAACTTAGGCAAAGGGGTTCCCCCTTAGGTTTTTTTTTTCCCGTTTTTTTGCCGGGGTTTGGGTTCCTTGTTTTTTTTTTTGGGGTATCTCGGATGTGAGCGGTTCTGGTCTCGTTCCCACTGCTTACGCCTTCGAACGCATATCGTGCGGCGCGACAAAAACCTTCAAATAACCGCTCTCCTTCTTGGCGATATTGGAGTATGCCTGAGGCACCTCCTCCAGAGCAAGGCGGTGCGAAATAAGCACCGATGGATCAAGCTCGCCACTTTCGATTGCATCAAATACCTGGGGATAGTACTTCTGGGCAGGCGTACGACCAGCATTCACGGTGACACTCTTCATCGCGACGTGGCCGATCGGGAAAGCTTGCACCGAGCACATATAGTCCGACACAATTGAAATGTGACCGCACTTGCGAACGATCATCAACATCTCTTTGAATGTGTCCGTAGGCTCGGGATGACTCTCCATGCCCATGCTCTTCTCCAGTTTGGCCATCCAACCAATCGAAGTAGAGCTGCCACTTGCATCAATTACAGCGTCAGCACCGGCCGGCGGTAGCATGTGTTGCAACTTGGACACCACTTGAGCACTGGACAGCTCGCGACGGTCGACCACCTCGAGATTCATGTGGTCATGTGCAAACTTGAGCCGGTCGACGGAGTGCTCGACTCCCAGTACAGTCTTGGCGCCACGGAGCTTGCACCAGTGAGCAGCCTGCAGTCCGATAGGGCCCAAACCCCAAATCACCACATTGTCCCCTTCCTGGACCTTGGCAGTATCCACAGCATGCAGCGCAGTGACCGTCGTCTCCACTCCCAGCAGTGCCTTGTCGTCACTCACACCAGACGGCAGCTTGAAGCAGTTCATGTCACCGAACGGTACACGGACGTATTCGGCCTGCACACCGGGGACATTTCCCAACATTCGGGTGCTGCCAAGCACAGCGGCAGGAGCCCATCCACCGTAGGTCTGCTTGAACTCTTGGGACGCATTGGTGCAGTTGCAAGACGCGTACTCGTGACGACGACAGTGCTTGCAATCACCACAAGCTAGTACAAAGCTAACAGCGACGCGGTCACCAACATTAACCTTGCTCACTTCTGCACCTACGCTCTCCACGATGCCTACGGCCTCACTACCAAGCACCTGGTTCTTTTCCAATCCCTGGGCCTCCCCGCCGCAAACATCAGTAGCGAAGTCTGGGCTCACGGAGCATGCGGTGACCTTCACTACCACGTCCGACGCTTCCACGATCTTCGGCTTTGGAATGTGCTCCAGCTTAACGGACTTGCCCGTCCACACGACAGCACGCATGCAGCCGGCAGGGTCCTTGGAGCACGTATCTCGCCCATGCGCATGCGCACTGGGCGTCATCTTGCTGGCAGTTTCCATGTTACTAGAGTTTTAGTTGCTCAGGTATCGATGCTCTTGTTTTCGACGATGCAAATGCAGATATGACACCCGAGCAGGATCGTGCTCGGCCCTCAAGCCAAAGTGACATGCCGGCTCTCGTCCCAGAGCAGCCGAGTTGAAGACACGATGCATACTCGGATCAAGTCTTCAATGGCGATAGACTAAGATATTCCATTGCAAGGTCTCGTTGAACTGCGAAAAATACTGGCGTCGTTTCGCAATAAGATGAAAGAGGTTTTATGCACTTTCAGAGGTTGGTTTTCTAACGGCTTCAACTTGAGGCATCAGAATGTCAATGGCAATTTGCCACATGCGAGGATGCAAAGAAAACGACGCTTGATCCCTCTCGCTGTCGCCTCCTCCCATTCCACATTCCACTACTGCTCGTCTACCCCAACTGTAGCATCAGCCAATGATGAAGCTTACCTCTATCGCCCTATTGGCTAGCATTGCCACAACAAAAACCATGGCTGCAGCAAACCTGATGCGTCGTGACCTTCGTGTTGAGACATCGGGAGCCAACACAATAGTAGCGGGCCTGCGCGACGACGAACTCGGTGCAAACGAGGATTTTTGGGGATCCTGGGAGAATCAATACGCGGGATACTTGGGTGCACAAGAAGACATCGAACCAAGCAGTGATGATACCGAGTCTGCAAGCGGCACCAGTGAACTTGACTTTACTGTTGGAGACCTGCCTGCTGCGGCGAAGGAGGTCTTCCAGAAGGCCGAGTCTGTGGTAACAGCGGCACTGCCGTTCAGCATCAAGCACGCTACGTCCTTGGTGCTCCCCCTCGGTCTCGTCGCCGCAGCCATGCTCATGATTGCAGTAGCTGCTGTGCTCATCGGTGTGCGACGACAGCAGCTCAGCGAGCCTGTGTTCGGCCCAGTCGAATTAGTTTCCGATCTACCGGACCCCATGACCACATCCGCTGCCAGTGAAGCGGAAGGCGACGACTCGGACAAGTGTTCATCAAATCATGGCGATGAAGCGGACACGGGCGCAACAATCCTTGCTGAGGAAGAACAGGAGGAAGAGAAAGAGGAGGAACAAGAAGAGTTTGTCGTAACACTTGCATAGGTACAATGTAGTTCAAGCCCTAAAATACTCCACTTCCATTCTCGACGAGCTGTTGCTAGCCACGGCCAGATGCTTATCCATCAACGCTGCTTCGTGCTGGTCTCCCTTGTCTATGCGATCCGAAAGTCTCTGGTAATGGGTGGAGCGCTCCGATGATCTGACGTCACGCGAATCTCTACACCCACCAGGAAACTGTGTCCGACGTCATGAGTCCATTATTGTGCTGCCCATCGCGCCTATTTACCAAAAATGGACGATGTGCTGCTCAAAGTAGGACGATTCTTCGGACACAGCTCCCACACACCGCTTCACCAAGCAGCTTTTACCGTACTTAATCGAATTATCCGTGAAAGATGGGCACTTTGGGCCAATGGTCTGCTTGGAGCTGCGTGGGCCGCCAGAGCCCCAGACATTGATTTCCTAGTTTGCGGCGCAAGAAGCAGACCACTCCCCCTTCTCCTCGAGACGATTTGAAATGGCTCTCCGTCGCGTCCTGACCACCAGCAAGGCCTTCAAGGCGGCTCCGAGCCTCCTGCGCCGCTCCATGGCCACTGTGGCCGACGAGATGACGGTGCGTGATGCGCTCAACACGGCCATGGACGAGGAGCTCGCCCGTGACGACGAGGTCTTCCTCATGGGCGAGGAGGTCGCTCAGTACAACGGCGCTTACAAGGTCTCCAAGGGACTGTGGGAGAAGTACGGTGACAAGCGCATTATCGACACGCCTATCACGGAGCAGGGCTTCACCGGTCTCGCCGTCGGCGCTGCCTACCACGACACCAAGCCCATCGTCGAGTTCATGACGTTCAACTTCGCCATGCAGGCCATTGACCAGATCATTAACTCGGCTGCTAAGCAATACTACATGTCGAACGGCGACATCCACGTGCCCATTGTCTTCCGTGGCTCCAACGGTCCCGCTGCCGGTGTTGGTACGTATCTTTAGCCTCTTGAATTTGTCAACTTCTACGTTGAGAATCCTGTGGATAATTTGTAACGTAACTTTGATTCGTTTGATCTTTTCAGCCGCTCAGCACTCGCAGTGCTATGCCGCCTGGTACGGCAGCGTGCCCGGACTCAAGGTGGTGTCCCCCTACGACTCGGAGGACGCTCGTGGTCTGCTGAAGGCTGCTATTCGCGACCCCAACCCGGTTGTGGTGCTGGAGAACGAGCTCCTGTACGGTGTCTCGTTCCCTGTGTCCAAGGAGGCCCAGGACAAGGACTTCCTGATTGAGATCGGTAAGGCCAAGATCATGAAGCCGGGCAAGGACGTCACCCTCGTGGCTTTCTCTCGCATGGTTGGAGAGGCTCTTGAGGCTGCCGCTGTTCTGGCCAAGGAGGGCATTGACGCCGAGGTGATCAACCTCCGCTCGATCCGCCCGTTCGACCGTCAGGCCATCATTGACTCCGTGAAGAAGACCAACCGCATTGTGTCCATTGAGGAGGGCTGGGGCCAGCACGGTATTGGTGCTGAGATCGCCGGCATCATCATGGAGACGGAGGCCTTTGACTACCTGGATGCTCCCCTGGAGCGCGTGACTGGCACGGACGTGCCGATGCCGTACGCCGAGAACCTGGAGAAGTTGTGCTTGCCGCACACCGAGGACATTGTTGCCGCCGCCAAGCGCACTGTGGCCCGTAACCTGTAAGCAAACCAACCGCCTCTATAACCATGGACAACGTCGTCATCCCCATACCAATCTGATCTCGAGAACCTCGCGCTATGAAGGAAAGCAGGGCGAGGGATGAGCGTATGCTCACTCACGACTACGCAGCAGCAAGCATCGTGCGCGAAAGCAGGAAAGAATGGAGTGATTGACAGTAGGAAGGGTGTAACTAATCGAACCCGATAGACCACAACGTATGCTCCAGCGGGTGATTTACTGCAGCAATTGTTCCCTCATTTTACTCATGAAGCTGCGGCGTTGACAACGCTGGTGCTTGGACAAGCAAAGCCGGTGTTTTTTGCTGATGAATGCGTGGTCTGGTGATCCCGAATATAACGCGCAAAAACACACAAGTGATATTCGGCCCTCCCCAAACTCTAGGCTTACCCTTTATGAAAATGAAAATACGGAAATTAGTGTGCATCTCCCTCACAAGCTTAGAAACCAAACTCGCCGAAGAAATCAACATCCTTCTTGGGCTTCTCCTTCTTTTCGACAGGTGCCGGAGGGGGAGCAGTGGCAACAGGGGCGGAGGCAGCAGCAGTCGAGCTATTGCTGCTATTGGCCGACGTTACGGACGATGCGGAGAGTCCGAGAAGGTCGTGACTGCTGCCGTTAGCACTGGACGACGAGGATCCAAACAAATCGGTAGTCTGAGCAGGCTTGGGTTGCTGTGTTGGTGTGTCGAAGCTACTGTTGTTGCTGCTGCTCAGCTGCGAGTCCAACCACGAGTCATTATCGTGATCACGGCTTGATGAGCTCGTGTTGCTGTTGCCGCTACCGATGCCAGCGTACTTGCCAGAGGTCGACAGCTCGGCATTGGTGCGAGGAAATGAGCTCATTCCGTCAGAATTTCCGTACGAATTGCCACCTCCATGCACTGCGCTCTGTGCGGTTTGCAACAGGGATGACGCGCCACTGGAAAGCATGGACCAGCCCGAAGTGGCCGAGGACTTGACATTATCTGATAACGCTGGGTCGTGAATTGCACTCTGAACGTAGGACCAGCCAGTTGACACCTTGGATCCCAGATCTTGGTCCTTGACGAGACTGGCAGCTGAGCTGGCGGCTGTTGTGACCGTACTGGTAAAATAGCTAAAGGCGCCCGAGAGGTCTCCCAATCCGCCAGACGAGGTCTGTGGCGCGCGCGTTTCCCCGCCGCTTCCAATGCCCTGCATGCCATTTCCACCGAACTTGGCGGCCATGCGGGCACGAGCTTCCTCACGTAGTTTCATCTGGCGAGCAACGTAATCCTGCTCTGACTCTCCCTTGAGCGCTTCCACACCACGGGTGTCACCTCCAGCAGAGCCTCCTCCAGAATATGAGGCCGACGAGAAAGAGGATGAAGCTGGCTTACGCATGCTCGGGTCCCACTGCGGGAGCGACGGCGGCGAGCGTCCCTCAACGATTGCTGTTAGTCGCTGGCGATAGGCCTCAGCTTGCGGTGTGTTGTACTTCTCGCTGATGGAAAGGTCCGTGGGGACACCCGCAGCGGAGAAGGCAGCACGGAACGTGTCGTTGCCACCCTTCTGCATCTGTAGCACCTGCTTGTCCGTCCACGAGTCCATGGTAACTGACCGCACGAACGAGATGTGTACGCCCAGTCCGCGGTGGCGGCCCGAGCACTCGAGACACATGAAGGTACCGTAAGAGACCGTAGCCCATTGCGGGTACGGCGCATCACAGTCCACACAGCGCTGCAGTAAGAGAGAGCGAGAGCGTTAAGAGTAAACTCGACTAGGACGACGCATGGAAAATAGACAACGCACGTTGTTTCCCGGCAGGCGCCGCAGTTCCTGCTGGGTCTCCATAGGCATTTGATGCGCCATCGTGTAACTTGTCTAGTCTATTGGGGAGATGCACGGGGATAGCGGCGACGCACTTGGGGAAGACGCGGAATCAAGAAAGCAACCGTTACGCAGTACTGAACACTGGTGCTGATTCATTGGCTTAAAATGTATAAAAATCAACCAATCATGCGTTGCCAGGAATCCAATGTTATCAGACAAGAGACAGGCCAAACGTCAAAGATACTTTCTCTTCATTGACGCCGGAAGGAAACGACTCGAGTCCGCTGAGGCCGCTTAAGCACCTGGTACAGCAGCAAGTTGAGACCGAAGAAGCTACCGATGATCAGTGACAAGTACGTTGAGAAGAAGTTTCCGTAGCCGCGTCCACAGATCATGTACCACGAGTCTTCATACAGAAGCTGCGCCACCGGGTAGTTGCACAAGTTAAACTCCTCGTCAAAGTCGTGAACGCACAAATACTTCTTGCGACGGTGCTGCATGCCCACGAGCGAAAAGAACGGCTCGTTCTCCATGCAGTTTCCAAGCGGCTGATGGTGGCCCAGCGATACGATTTCCGTCGGATTAATGAACAGCGCCAGCAGGACTAGGACGAGGTAGAGCAAGAAAGTCATCTGGTTCACGGCGTGGTCGATGCACGAGTACAGCCAGTCGCTGTCGTAGGCATCCACAGGCTCCAGAACTTTCTGTACTTCAGGGTCATCTGCAATCGGCAATGACACGAGCATAACTGATTAGAGAACATAGCAGAGCTGGGATATCCTCGTAATGTATACCTCTTTCACGGTCAGCCATCCAGGAGAGCAGGAAACTCAAAGAAATTAGCATGAAGAACATCACCTGCACAAGAAACAGTAGCAACAGTGAGTTATTACAACTATCCAGCAATATTAATACATGACCGCCACGAACTTGTGCTTCGATCCCCATGAGACGAACGGTCGAATAGTAGCCCAAGATCAGGAAGCCCATGGCGAAAATGGTGGTGAGTAGCGGCATGAGTAGCACATATCCCCACTCGGATTTCCAGTGCTCCTCCTCGTAATAGTCACCCACGAGCCAAGTGCTGCAAAAAAAGTCCGTAGCATGTCAGCACAGGATAAAGTGACCCATTCAGCACGTAGTTCTTACCTGTGTAGAATATGATGCACACAGAGGAACGCAAACGCGAAGAAGTAATTATAAAACAGCGCGTGGCATGGTACGCCCATCAAGCGTTCAGCGAGCAGCGGATCCGTATCGTGCCACGTCCACCAAAGGAACTTGGTGCCCAGCAACTCAAAAGGGAACACCAGCATCACCATGAGCGTTCCCATCGCAAATGGCTGGAAGAATGGGTCGATCCGTAGTCGCGTCGTGGCCACAAATGCTCTGTTTCCACAAGTCGCATGAGCAAACTCCACATCCTCCTTAGCAACATGATATCCTCTTCCCACTTACATATAATAGAGCTGCGCTTGTAAAAGCACCGTATACAGTGGTAGATGCTCGGACACCAGCATCACCAGCGCCTGCGCGTGCCATCGGTCGCTGTAGTAGAAGACCAGTTCCACGATGAGCACTTGAAGCATTGCAGCAACCAGCATGGTGGCGTTACGCTTGCCTGACGAGTGCACGTGCAACATGAGCAGGAAGACGCAGAGGTACGTAGCCCCCTCCACAACCGCCAACGAGACGTTCTCATTCAGCAGCCCCAGGAAGGCAATCGGCATGACCCGGGATGTCGCTACCATTTTCGTCAGACAAAAACTGAAAAATGAGGTTATGTAACAATGCAAATGTGATCTATCAGATAATTGTTGAGTGCAACATGGCTACATAGCTTCAAGAGACTACATTGCCTTCCCGTCGTGAGGAAGTTCAGTGCCACCAGACCCTTGCGCAATGAAGACCCGATAAATCACGAACAGAAGAACACATAGCAGAACGAGCAGGAATGCCATGCCGGACGCAGAAGTGTCTCCAACCCCAGTCATTGGCCGTTTGAGACCTTCAGGCGCGTCTCCACGGTTCCAAACAAGGTTCTCCACCTTCTCCTTCCATGTCTCTGCATCCTGCCCTCCCGTATCTCCAGTATCATGCTGAGTGTGATCCACTTGGTCAAAGTCCTTCGGGATGTAACAAGTCCGACCTTCATAGCTGCTGTCGCACAAGCACATGCCATTGACACAGTCGCCGTGGTTACTGCAATGCTCGCGATACACGCACACGACAGCACGGTCAGACGCCGGAAAGTCTTCCAGATTCGAATACCCACTGGAAAGAGACTTCAGGTACCGATTAAATGCGATGTCGAACTCAGACAGCTCAGTGTCCAGAAACTTGGACAATTCCTGCTCCAACGACGGGAAGATAAGGTTGAAACCTCCTCGTCGAGCGTATTCTGTTGTTGCTGTGAAGAGTTTACGCGCAACGTTTGGCGCGAACCACCCGGGGCATGACCAGCACGACGTATCCCATGCACGACTCTTGTCACGACATTTATCCGAGCAAAACCTTGCATCAGCTGGCGGGCGATAAAACTTCTCGAACGGAAGTCGAGCCTGAGGGTGAACACCCACTAGATTAAGTAGGTCGTGCAACAAACGCTTTTTAATAGCCTCATCCGTAGCGAGTACGGACTGCGTGCCTTCCATCGACGGATTGGAAACCACACGAACAAGCCACGGCTTGGCCATATCGTCCAACTCAAAGTCAAACCTCCACAGATCGAAGAAGCTATCACTCAGATCATTCGGGGTAGATCCCTCTCCTTCACGTGCAGCTGAGCGCTTCACCTTGCTTTGTTCACTTTGAAAGTTGCCACGGTTGCTGAGCACCACTTTAGCAATCGCAGCTTCAACCTCGTCCTGCAAATGCTTCGTGTCGATTCCCTGTCTACGTAAGTATTTTTTTAGAACATACCACGCGTTCGTTCCTTCCCGTGTGGCCGACGGAAGTTCATGGAAATCTGTCTGCAGATCGGGAAAGTCCCATGGAGCGATGTACTGATCAAAGTTGTAAGTGGCTGGGTCAGTCTCAACCTTCAACGTACTTGGATACTCGCCCTTGGCAATCTGGATCAGCGGGTGGTCATACACGTAAACACGAAGCGGGTCCGTCGACGTCACAGCCACGTAGAATCCCACACGAAACTTGTGGTTGTCCAGCAGCAGCGGCTCGACGTACTGATCCACCACAACTGTTTTCCCCTTAAATGTATTCGACTGCAACTTGAACTGCAGATCTTCATCCGTAACGAAAACTTCAGCACGTGTGGTTGAGTCATCATCGCCATTAACAGCACGATCACGCAGCAAAAAGCGCCGCTGTACGTGCGGATCGCGCCCGCGTTTGGGCGAAAAATCGGATTTCTTACGCGCCTCCGTGTAAGCGGTGGTCAGTTGCGCCTGGTCGCGCGGCAGCTCAAAGTGTGCCGGCACAAAATCAAAGAAGAACTTGGTGCGTTTCTTCTGCTGCGCTACCAAGTGCTGGCCAAGTGCGTCAGGCGACGTAAGCTTCTCAGCACCCGGTAAGTGGTTCACCTTAGCATCGAACTGGTGCGGGAGCTCCAGCTGCTCGAATGGCGGTGCTGCGGCCGTACTCCACACGAGGTCAAACTCCGAGCTGTCGGACAGCAGCTTCCCCCAAGAGGGCTGGGAGTCAGCGGCTTGGAATTGCGAGATACCGAGCGCCTGCAGTTGCTGCAGCACTGGTTTGAGCTTTTGCGGCTGCGTTGCCTCGGGCAGATAGAATCGCGCTTGCGCACGGGCGCTTGTTGAATCGCAAACGCTAATGCACACTGCTAGCACTAGCAGCAGCAGCAGGTGCAGACGGTGAGGCCGAAGGGATGTGGCCATGGCAGAGAATCTTGCACTGTTCGAATGACGCCGCCCTTTTGACTCTGACTTTTCCACGTTAACCTCAGACAACTGTTGTCTGAAATCATATCGGTTAAGGTTACAATAAAGCATAGGGCAAGCTGCATTGCGGAGCATGGTGCATTCTAACCATACTCGAAGTTGCTTGCATGTATGTAGCGCAGCAACTATAAACTGACACAGCGCAATGTGATTATCTTGAGTTATGCCTTAAGTTGCGAGCAACGGGCCAACAGCAACGCCTCTCTTTCCTATGCTATATCCGCCCGCCACATTCAATGCTTCCGTCGTCTAGCAGAGCTTGGGGATCTGGATAGCAGCGTTGCGAAAGGCCTTGAAGGGAGCGAGGCCAGGGAACTGCAGCTGCTTGAGCGTAGCCTGGAAGCTGGCGTTGGGCGAGGCGGCAGCGGTAACAACAGTCTCCTGCGGCGCGGCAGACAGCGCGCTAGTGTGGAAGCCCTGGCGCTGCTTGTGCTTGGGGCTGCGGTCACAGATCACGTACACTTTCCTTCGTCGGCGGACGACCTTGCAGCCATCGCACATGCGCTTCACGGACGAGCGGACCTTCATAGCTGGTGGAGTGGTTCTTGCTCTGCAGTCCACGAGTGACTTTCAGCCGCACCAAATGTACGCGCCCTATTATAGTCCAGGCTATTATTTAGTAGCTGTCCAAAGCTCAAATATTTTTGACGTCCTCTGATTGGCCAAGCAAAATAGTCCGCTCAAATCAAAAACAGCTGACGCGCACATCATTGATACCGTCGTCATTGTAGACGATGGCGAAAGAGGTGCAGACCGGAGAGAAGGCCAAGACGTCCACCAAGATGAAGAAAATTGCGAAGCGCAATACCAAGAAACAAAATGCGGTCGCTGCTGCTGCCCCCGCGGCTGAGGAGCGCGAGGAGCGGCCTTTTATGGTGCGGGTGCTGACAGTTGGCGCGGCGTCATACCTAGCACACAAGGTCTGGACCAAGAGGAAGATGTTAACTGCAGGATGGTATACGGAGGAGCAGACGGCGACGGAACAAGGCATGGTGACGGCCTTCGAATACCTCAGCTCAATGGGTCTCATCCTCGTCATGGGAATCGTGGTGGGCGTCATCTTCAGCAAGGTGGCGAAGTCGGTCAAGGGCACGGCACCAGCGGAGCAATAATGTGACAATCATGGGTGTTATAGCAGACGCTGCATGGAGGCAAGCATACCTCCGATCTTTGTAGTTATGCATCGCCAGCTCGAGGCTCGAGCCTCGAGCACTGACAATGAGCTTTAATCGTTTGGTAGTGAATAGAACAGGAATTGACAAAACATGTGTGTTGCTGCAATCAGGATCGTTTTCTCCTTACTGAAACCAAGTCTAATTCAAATCACCATATTACAAGCCTGCGCGCACTTTTCAAACTTCCAAAGTGCATAATGGCTCCTTCCAATCGCCGACGCGTCGGTCGCACGCTACGTCGTTCTCGCCGCGGTAGCGCCGTCCACGGCAGGATCGGTACGCGCTCTACTGCTGGTGTCGGCCCTCTGCAAGCGATTGGAGAGAATACCGTCGTAGATCTCGCAGCAGACGACGGATTGGACGCCATTGCCAGCAGTTCGCGCTTTGGGCTCCCGTCCACAACGCTAGCGAGTCCGTCACTTAAGAAGCAGAGCAAAAAGAAGAAGAAGAAGCGACCACGTGAGTCGACAGCCATACAGTCGGAAAAGAAGCGCAAGCAGCGGCTCGAAACGCTGCTCGATGAGGTGGAAACCCAAGGTACCGTGTCTAAATCTCACTCTATCGTAAACGCATAATTCTGAATTTTATATGTTGCTGTGATCGAACAGTGCAGGAGCGATGTGACGAGCTGGTGGCAGATGCTGAGCGGCGCGCACAGGAGCTCGAGATGGAGCTCAAGGTTCAGCTGCTCTATCTACCCGAAGCGGTGCGTAGAATGCCCTGGAAAACCTTCGTGGAAGATTTCGGTGGAGACTTTCAGAACGTCATCCAAAGCTTATCGCAGCCCTCTCCTCCACGAACGCAGTCGTCCATGACTGGACATGATATCGTGGCTGCTACTCCATGCAGCATGGACGATGCCGACGACAGCGAGTACGAACCAGAGTCAGAGGACAGTGACCACGACACACAGAATCGCCGTGTGTCTGCGTTCACAACGCCTATGGACCGACGTCGAGCTCGTACAGCCCCTGGTACAGTCTTGCGTACTGCCCGTAAGGGAGAAACAACGTACATGTATTCAGCTCGAGGCTCTCCCATCATCCCCGACACCGCGGCTAAGGCGAAGGCGCCTGCAGGATCGTTGGTTGCCACATTTGAGAAGGGTCTAGAGCCCACATCATGCTGCTTGCAACTTGACAATGATCGTATGCTTGACTTGTCTCGACCCGAAGAGCTCTCAGCAAAGTCGCGTGGAGAAGCAACGTCCAAGCTCAAAGCACTTCAGGCCAAGGTGGCTCAGCTGCTACAACAGATCAACCCCTGCACTCGCTAAAGTGGCACGAGTGCTGCAAGATATACCCACACCGATAACACGCAGTTGGGATGTCCGCAAGCATACACGGCTAGTGCAAACTCAACACCCGGTCGTTCGTTGTAGTAAATATTCTGCCAGACGAATGGATCTGTTAGCCGTGCCTCTCAGTCGTTCAAGGAAGATAATATAGTACCATATTCGCAACGCAATACGCACCGTGTTCTCGACGAGTTCAAGCACCCGTGGAATGTCAGTGAAAGACACGTGGAGCGGCAGTCCGCAGACTTCTCGTGAACGCTGCAACTCGCGTAGTACACTGCCCCCAGGATGAGCTCTCCGCATGGGCAAAGCAAGTTTCATCTTGATCTTCTGTTTAATCCTCTGAGTCGATCGTGGGCTGAGATTGTCATCAGCAGTCGATGACGTTGTTGACGTATCTTGACTGCTGCTTTGACCGTTTGCTTCGCGCTCTAGCACCATCAAGTGGTCTCGCAGTTGTAGACCTGCAGCTTCGTTGAAGTTGGTGGCGAAATGCGAACTTCTCCAGCGTCTAACGGCCAGTTTCAGTGCCTCCCGCAACTCTCTTTCGACTTGGTACACAAATTCATGTGGTGTCTGACTGTACATAAGCTCTCGACGCTGGACACTAGGCGGCAAGGAGATATTCTTCTCAGTGAAGAAAGGTTTCCAGCACTTTGTGTTGCTCTCGATATCCCAGCTGATCTCGTGGATGCTGCCAGCTACCACACCTGGCCCAAACATCAGTGGTTGTACATTCGCAAAGACATTTTTACTCGATACAACAAGTGATACATCGCGAAGAGGACAATGAGGATCTGTAACAGCGTATCCAACTCCAGTGCTGGCATTCCAAAGAACTCCGCAATGGAGGACGTAGACAATATTACCTTCTGGTACGGCGTGTCCAAGAACAAGATACGTTTTCGAAGATTTTTGTTCGCCATTTTTTCGCTGGTGACGACGTTCATACCACATGAAATAGTTGGCCAGTAGCACCGCATGTTCCTCGTGATCCCCTGCACCCATGTTCAGGAATTCCTGTGTGGTGCTCCAGACGTCTTTATCTCCATCAAATGCTAGCCAGTCATCCAAAAACGGTATCAAGCTCACGTAGCGCACCAAAGTTGGCAAAGATGCGGATTGAAGCTCCACAGGGGGTGATTGGGCTCGCAGGAATCGAGGCAGGAAAGTGGCTCCATGGCTGAGGTTACGAACAAAAGCGTTGTAGTTCCGACGACGTGCTGCGCTAGCTGGTGCAGCATTCTTCACACTAGTAGCCCAGCGCTGCGCGTGAACAAGGAGCAGTTTATCTTGCGCGCTTCCTGTAGAAGTCCAAGGTTTGCTTTCATTGCGATCAGAACTCTGGCTGCTTACGGGAAGAACTGGGTCCAATAGCAACGTGAGTTTCAAGTAAGTGGATTCGCGTGCTGCTTGCTTCACATCCAGTCCCTCAGTGCCATCATCATCATCGTCAATACCACTAGCTTCCAGACTTCGTGCCGTTCTAGGACTCGTTGATGATCGCTTTCGTATTGAGCTGCTACGTGTGAGACTTCGTGCACGACGCTGTCGAGGTGAACCTTCCTCGCCGTCCGAAGAAGCAACTGAAGTCGGACCTGACGACATTTTTGCTACACTTGATGTGGTTCTGTGGATCGCACCGACTTCGAGATTGGCATAGCCCAAGTGCTCAACTGGCATCTGGCAGCGTAGTGAGCCTTCAAGACGACCTGCTCGGTATAGTGTCAAGAACGGCACCTCAAGGCTTCCTAAGAAACAGTTTTCCCGATGTAAAGCCCGTGTTTGAGCGCCAAGACGCTCCTCTCCTTCTTGTCGGTCCTCATCAACTGTCGTTGCCGCCGGACGAGTAACTTGATCAAAGAGACTAAAGAAGATGACGTCTTGTGTACTCTCGATACCGTCAGGACTCCAGTCATCTTGAGGAGGGCGAAAAGGTAACGCTAGAGTCTCCATCCACATCGGGTGTGCTCCGACGCTGCTGTCATTTTTACCTACAGCTCCCATGATAGTGGCACAAGTAGTTTGTCGAGTTTTCCCCTGGAAGCTAACCTGCACGAATACGTGGCTTTCGTAGTCCAAAGTCACGCCTCCGCGAGGGGTTTCCACCACCTCTTCCCTTTGATTGTCACTTGAAGGTGGCATGGCCATCATTCTCGGACTCTTCTTCGTCCGTTGCAACGTGTCACGCCGTCGTCTTCCTGTTGTTGCGATTTCTTCTGCTTCAGCCGCGTCACGTGCGGGTTTAATCCTCACCGGCACATTCGTTGCCTTTTGCACTTGTACGTACAACGTACAGGAAGTAGGCCAATGTGCCGCAGTCTGTGACGATGACGCTGTTGTTGATACTTTAGCACGGGGGCGAAGTCGTCTTCGTGGGGCGAATAATGCTCCAGTTGATGGGAATTCCAGCGTCCCCGGAAACAATGGCAACGGTTTCTCCTGGACAATAGCCGCCAGAGGCTTCGAGCGACCAGTTCGTGCTTCCTGATTGCTACTATCTGTGTTGTATTTACTCACAATTTGTGTTTGACGTACGCGTTCACGGAAATCCTGAAGCTTCAGGAGTTGTCGTACTCGATGCCGTTCTACGATAGACGCATCAGCTCGTTCAGCTTCTTCGCACAGCAGACGACGATCGAACGCAGTTAACTCTGGTCGTAAAAGTCGAAGCAGTCGTTCATCAGCAACCAATTCGTGCTCCAGCAGCGGCAATGGTTCATCAAATACTGCGTGCTGAGGAATCCACCGCAATGGCTCTACTTTTCCACTCTCGTGACTTGTAATTGCTTCGCAAAAACTGGTACCATGTCGAGAAGCGTACTCCCGATCACGAAGCTGTAGAAGTCGATTGCGTTTTGTAAGTCCACGACCGCTTCCAGCCAAGGGATCAGGCACATCGCTCGTTCGAAACACTTTACGTCGGCCGAGACCTACGGCCAGCGCTTCTTGCTGCTGTTGAGTGTAGTAAACCTGCAGACGCCGCACTGCTACATTTTCAGGGTCGTTCGGGTCAAGAGAGAGCTCTTGAGGCTCAACCAGTCGAAGAAAATCTCGCTCACTACTGAAACCCGAGTCACATAGATACTGAGATAACTGAAGTGAGCTGCGCTTTGGGGGCTTTCCGATGAGTTGAACGGGAGAAGAAGAGGCTTCGCGTCCACCAGCAGTCTCAGGGCGTTTTGGGGGGAGATAAACAGTATCATCCGAATTAGGGTGAAAGATCTGCGAACTTTGCATACCAATGTCTGAAACCCAAGCAACTCGAAGGTGAAGACGGCCATGTGTGCGGCGACTTGTATGAGCGAACAGTGGGGCGTTGTGGAACGAACGATGCCATTGCGTCCGTGCGATCGGTCTCGTGCTACTGAATTGGTACCATTCGTCACTAGGTGTGAGACTAGCTGCAGGTACCAAGTGATCTGCAGCATTATCCCCCCATTTACTGGAAACCGACGAGCGCGATCGAGATGGAGCAGGCTTAGCAACATTCTGTCCTGGAACAACCACAGGAACTGCATTCGTCGACAGGAGCTCGTCACGCAAAAGTCTTCGGCGTTCGTACACTTCAGCACAAATTGACCATGGAAAGAACGGTAGTGTGAAGCACAACTTTTCTGAAAAACGAGCTTCACCGCGTGACCACGATTGAATTTTAGTAGTGCAAGCAATTTTTCCATTCACGCGGATCACCACGTAGAATCGAGGGCTCCAAAAAGAATTATAGCTTGGCTGACCATCTCTGATACTTTCGAACTGTAAAACAGTCTGCAAAACTTGAGCTGATGTAGTGGAAATTGTAGACAAGCGTTCAGAAATTTTCTTAATCACCAGTTGTAATTTGTCATCATCTTTCTGATTGTCAGTATCGGATTCCAGAAGTTCTAAAATGGCGTCCACGCGAGATAAATCGATGGGATGTTTGCGCTGTCGTTGCTTGATATTAAGAGAAACCGCGGAGCCAGAGCGATTCCCTGCATCCCGCATTTCATTCGCCTTGCCTACAATCTGCTGATGAAGTTGATTTAGAGCTTCCAAATCTGTTAGCAATTGATTCACTTCCTGGATCACTTGGTTCGTCGACAGATGCATTGCTGCCAGAATGCTTGGTGTTGTTGATTGTGTTAGCTGGTCAGTGCTACGGAAGAAGAAATTATCAAGACGCTGCAGCGAGAGCTGCCACGGTTGCAGCTGTTGCATTCTACCGTACGCTGTGTACAGAGCTCGCAGTTGAGCAGCAAGTCGGTCAGCTAATGCAAACGTGGGGTGGTCATCCAGCACAATCCGGTCGACAAAAAGTTCAAGCATAGCAGTCTTCTTCTGGCTGTCGTGACTTTTTCTTGAGTCGTTTACCGATTGTGCTGTGGTCATGGTAACCACATCGTCAGTAGCTAGCGAACTGTCTGATATTGAGAGTTCATGTTGCGGATCTGGTAGTAGTAGATCCTCTATCAGTAGTTCTCTGCTTTGCTGTAGCTCCAACGTACCCTTCCCCGTTGTCTTCTGTTGTGCTGCTGCTGCAGATAGCTCCCTGTAGAGACGTTCTTCCAGACGATTTAGCGTACTGTGTTCCAAACGTCCATACTGTTCTCTCTCCTCATCAACAAACAACCCTGCAGCTTCTTGTTGTTTCAAGTGTTCGGATAATCTCTGAGTTGCAGGTAAAGATGCTTGAAGCCAGTTTGAGTACGACGTTGCTGGTCTCACAATGATCTCTTCAATAGACTTCGCACTTGGTGTAGCGGGGTCCTTCGTTAACAATCTCGTAATCGTGTCGGCATCGCCGTCGCTATCATCGTCGTTGGTCTCCTTTCCTGGAGAGATGGCTTTGTTTGGACTCGCTGTCTGACCTGAGAGCGCACGCAAAAAGCGATTGTTGCTGCGAGTATCCCGTTCCGTCGTGTCGTGTTGGCGTTTCCGTTGTTTTTCAACCTCATTGCGCTTTTCAGCTTCACTGCGTTGTCGAGGTCGAGTCATCGGAGACTTATCCCCGTCACTGGAATCATCGTGAGGTGATCGTCGTTTGCTTTGGGCGACAGGCACATCCGATATCTCTGGTGTCTGTCCCTCCTCCATTTTCGGATCTTGAAAGGTCGGAAACGACGAAATGGCTCGACAAGTCCAAGTAGGCTCCAAACTTCCAGATCTGGTGGGCGAGTCCCAAGTCGGAGTCGTCCGGGCTCATGATTACCTTGCAGGCGCGTGGGGCATCATCTGCTCATTCCCACAGGCTCGACACCCGACGTGGTTGTCGGAACTCGGAGCTCTGCAAAAGCTGCACGATCAGTTCGAGGCTCGCAACGCTCGTGTATTGGCCCTGCACGTTGCTTCATTACGAGAGCAGGGTCCGTTCCTTTCGGACGTCAATGAAACTCAAGAAGTGAAGGTGGGGTTCCCTGTATTAGCCGACGAAGACGGCGAATTGTCTCGACGTCTAGGACTTGTAGTCGCTGGCGCGCCGAAACATGCCGCCGACGCTGGACGCCTGCCGTTCAGCTGTACAATTGTCCTGGATCTCGACTTGACAGTGCGTATGTTAACGTACTACCCCATGAGTGTCGGTCGCAATTTCTATGAAGTGATACGATCTCTTGATGCTCTTCAGCTCTGCACCTTTGAGCAAGTGGTGACTCCGGTGAACTGGAAAGTGAGCGATGACGTATTCGTAGAGCCCGATGTGACTGCTGACGCTGCCAAGAAGTTCTTCCCGCAGGGAACACATGAGATCAAACCATACGCGAGACTTACAGCGTCTCCTTCCATTAGCAACGATAATTAACATGGAGCAAATATATTTACGTATTTTTTTACTCCATAGATAGTTACACCTTCGGGTTTTGCTCTGTTTCTTCTATCACATGGCTCAGCTTATCTTGCTGCAATTCCGATCGCGGTCTGTTGCTGCTCTACGAGCAGGGCATCACCATTTTACCCTGTTTTTTTTTTAATTTTTGGGTAGAACATGAAGATAACTTTTATAATGACCTCGCTCTAAGTTCTTCTGCATCAGTTTGGCCGTAAGTGGGTTTAATGGAAAGCGATTGGGGTGCCTACATCGCGATTCATACTTCAGTTGATTAGTCATTTTCATGTATATAATATCTTGTCGATTGCTTAGGAAACAACAATAATTAATGCTGTAACGCATAATATATATTGACCCCATAGATTGGTAGTTACGCGTGCTCGTTGTCTTCTATCAAATGGATCAGATTGTCTTGCTACCGATCCGACTGCGGTCCACGCTGTTGCTGTTGCTGTTGTTGATGCATCTGCTGTTGGAGGAGATGGTCACTGGGTGACACAGCAGATCGCTGTTGTTGCTGCTGTTGCATCAACTGCAGATGGTGATGAAGCGCTTGGTGTTGCATTTGCTGCTGGTGAAGCTGCTGCTGCGCTTGATGCTGTTGCGCTTGATGCTGCTGGTGATACTCGTGCTGCTGTTGTTGCTGCATCTGCTGGTGATGTTGAAGCTGGTATTGTTGGAGCTGCTGGTACTGCTGGGCTTGCTGTTGTTGAGCTTGAGCCTGTTGTTGCTGGTACTGCTGGGCTTGCTGTTGCGCCTGTTGCGCCTGTTGCTGCTGAGCCTGAGCTTGAGCTTGGTGTTGCATCGCATTGTTGTACCGCGCCATGTTGGCAGCCATGTCCAGCGCTTGTTGTCGAGCTTGCTGCGCTTCCTGAAGAGCTTTAGCCGCTGCGGCTGCTGCCGCTCGCGCTCGAGCAGCTTCTTCCTCTGCGCGTTGAGCTCGTCGCAACAGTTCGGCTTCTTCGAAGCGAATCTGCGGTGCGTAGTTCCACATCTGCTGCTGAGCTCGCGGGTCTCCGGACTGGCCTGCGTTCGAGACTGCTGACGAGGTGGACGACCCCGAGCCGCTGCGTGACAACGTCACAGCCATCTGAGCAGACGTGTTGGTATACGAAGACATGCTTTGTGCGCTTGAAGTCATTTTCTCGCTCGGACTGGTACGGGCCATCGCAGACGACATGGTAGACGACGCAGGCATGCCACTCACCATGGCAATCGAGCCACGCGACGCTGTTCCAGCACTTTCAGCACTGCTGGCGTTTGCATCATAGTAGCGACCTGGCTGCATCTGGCGCTGCATTTGCTGCTGCTGTTGATGAACCAAAGGCGACTGATGACCAGGAGTTGACGCCCTGCGATCAGGTGACGGCACATTCAGAAGACTCGACATGAGACCCATCCGGTTATGCTGGGCAGGGACAGAAGACCTTCTCGGTAGCAAATGAGCCGTTGGACTCGGAGCAGAGACTGGAGATCGTGCCAACTCAGCAGCAGAGGTCGGCATCGCCCGTGCATGCTCGATACGGAGCGGTGGTTGCTGTTCCTTCTGCTGCTGCTGCTGCTCGCGTGGTGAGTCTTGCTGTCGTATCACCATGGAGCCGTGGCCTCGCGGAGTTGAGTCATCCCGTGGTGACTCCGACTCGTTCAGGATGGACGAGAACGACATTCGACTGCGAACAGGCTGCACCGGGGGCGGCACAGGTGGTGCCAGTGCTGCACGGCCTTTCGGTACGTTATCTTCTGCAGCCGGCGTTGCAGTCGTACTATTCGTGGTCTCTTCACTCTTCACGGCGGTGGAAGCAGGTGCAGATTTCCACGCCTCCGTTTGCCTGTTCGCATCCATCGACACTGAACGAGGAGGAGCCAGCGGAGGCTGGTTCGCGCTGTTCGCTGCAACACCCTGAGGGGTCGAACTAACACTTCCGCATGTTGATGCGTTCATCATCGCCATACTCATCATCGAACGCTGCGGGACCTCGTGGGATCCCATCTGACTTGAGACGATTCCAGCATTGCCCCTAGCTGGCACAGCACCTCCATCCGTAGGGACATTGCCACCAGCATCCACTTGTCTGTCGTAGTGCTGAGCGTGTGCTGGGGACAGTTGCACAGCACCAGCCATGCCCTGCGAGTGTTGGTTCTGCACCTGCGGCACCGATTGATACATCCCTCCTGGATGCCCCATCTCCGCGTAAGAGCCTCTCGCTTGTTGTTGCTGTTGGATCTGCATCATTTGACCGTGTGTTGGAGCTTGAGCATGACCCTGTAGTCCCATTTGTTGCAGAGCCTGCATCGACAGGTGTTGTGGCGGTACTTGATGCTGTTGTTGTTGCTGCTGTTGCTGGCGCGAGAACTGATACATCCGCTGTGCATTCGCCGCATTCATCTGACTTTCATGGTACGAATTATTGTTGTTTCCCGCTGCTTCCGACGTCATCCCCTGCGATTTCTGTTGTTGCTGGAACTGCATGATCTGCAATTGATGCTGCATATTCAGCAGCTTCAAATAACGCTCTGGGTTCGATGCTGGGTTAATCATTTCTCGCGACTGCTGTTGATCTTGATGAGCCTGCATCGCAAACTGGTTCACTGAAAGCTCCGACAGCACATTAACTCCGTGCATCCCAGGCTGAGCTGCACTTAGCGCAGCCTGGAACGACATGTTCGGATCACTAACGGTCATAGCCATAGAGCCACTCGGCATCCCCATAGACATGCCTCCAGGGAGATCAACCGGGCGTCCCATCTGTCGCAATGTGCCGCTCATTAAACCAGCCGCAGCAGACCGAGGCGAGACAGTGGCGTTGCCACTCGCCACTCCAGCAGCTCCCTTACCGCTTCCACTGGCTGCTGCATTTTCAATTCGACGCTTTAGAATATCTTGCAAGTTCAGTCGGTTCTTGTAGTTCTGGTAGTAATTCTTGATCTGTGCTGCAGTCTTCGTCGGGATATTCTCCGTCAGCGTTGCCCAATCCTTACCATATTGCTAGTAAGCGAAACATACAAACAGCCACTAAGGTCAGTATTTACCCACACAAGATGACACTCACAAAATCATAACGTACTGAGAAATACTTGAGAAAATCCGCTTTTTCTCCTTCCGTCCACTTCTGCACCACACGCTTCGCAGGAGCTGCATTCGCGCTGTTGACAACTCCTGTATTTCCTGATGGAGATGACGTCCTAGCGTTAACTTGAGGTGTTGAACTTCCACCTGAGTTTTTCTTCACTGCCCCTGTTGAAGGTGCAGTGATCGATATAGTAGCTGTCCCTGCTGTCGACAAGCTTGACACCACATTGATCTTGGGAGAAGCGTTGCTGGCATTCGTCTGGTTGTTCCGACGTGGACCTGGCGTCGCACCACCACCTCGACTCGTTTTCTTTCCACTTTGCGCCACCTTTTCATCTCCTAGAACTGAAATGCGAGGAGTGTTACGGTTGTTGGACGAAGCACTTGAGTTCGATGAGGAACCTGCGCTTTTCTTCCGGTTGCCTCCACTTTTCTCTCCTGAATTCCCAACTGTTTGGATAGACGCCGACGCTGACGTAGGAGTTCCTGCTGCAGCCGCCGCAGCTCCTTCCATCATTTTCTTGAGCTTTCGCTGCTGCTTCAGTTCTTTCTTTGTCAACTGAGTACCACCGCTCTTCGGGTTTGCAGTGGACCCTGCCGGCTGACTCTGCTGCTTCACCTTCGTAGATTCTAGAGCAGCGCTAGTAGAACTACCCCCTGCAGTCACACCAGTAGCAGACTCCAGCTCCTTGCTTGGCGTTGGGTACTTCTTCAGACGCTCCTCAATAGACAGAGTCGACACTTCATAGCCCGTACTGTAAGAGTTATCAGTGAACAGTGACGCATAGTCAACCAGGAATGGCCGTTGCTGTCCGGCAACGAACTGCTCGAGCTGCTGCGTGTACAAATTGAACTTTTCTTCATCGGACGTGTCGGAATCTCCAGAATTGATAACATCGTCGAGTAGCACTCCCGAGTCTGCCGATGACGAGCGAACACACGGTGTGTGGTCTGATCCAGACACAATATCCAACGCACACTTCCCCTCCGCACTATCCGTGGCTTTTTCTGCACTGCTAGTCGCCACGTTACCCTCTCCCTCTGCCTTCGTTGTAGAGCTACGTAACAACCGCTGAGCTCCAGGAGAGTTAAGAATGTTGTCAGAAGCTTGATGCGAGCGAAAATTCGACGGGTGTAGTAACAGCTTCGCTATGTGCTCTGGGAATTGCACGCCAAGGCAAATAGCTGCACACGCTGATAGGTTCCAACAGCTCCAAGTATTCTTTGATCCTGCTCCACGACGCCGTAACTGCTGCTCTCGTAGTAACGCCTTGTAGTCCGCAACCTTTTTAGTTCGATAGTAGAAGGCAATTACATCTCCCGTAGTCTTATTCCTCAAGTAGGATGAGATTCGAGGGAAGTTTTTGGGGAACTGCAGGAATTTATCCATGTAAATACACTTCTCCAGATCATTCCACGGATTCACTTTCATCTCCGCCTTTTCCTTCAGTTTCCAGTCCGTCACAAGTCCATCAGCCATGCAGCTTTGGCCATTAGCGAAGCGGGTGAAGTACCGTTGTTGTCGTTCCGCCGGGGTGATCAGCATATCTGGAATGACGGTTGATAGGGCATTTTTCAATCGCTTCTTCCTTACTTCCTGGTCCAGAAGAGCCTGTGCCTTCGCCTGTTCAATCTTCTCCAAGTCGTTATTCTCCAAGTCAGCACTGGAATTGTTCGTCAACCGAGACGACGTTCGCACAATTGTCCCCTCACCTCCTGCAGCTTCAGCCGCCTTTTCAGCTGCGACCAACTGCTGCACATGGGGGCTTTGATGATTGGTATTCGTCGTTCGGATAGGTCCACTTTCACTCAAGCTTTTCAGCTTCTGCTTCTGCAGCTGCTTGAGGCGTAACTTGTCCTGTCGTTTCCTATCCTTCTCCATTTTCTTCACTCCCTGCTTCCACGACTTCTTCAGGTCCACATATTCCCGCGCGAGTTTCTTCATGTAGTCATGACGAGCACGATTCCGCATACGCACCTTCATTCGGACTTGGTCAGCAATCGCCGATCCGCGATCAATGTTCTCCTGATAAAACGCATAATCACTGGGTTGATGGTAGATTTTCGTCGCCAATTGTCCTCGCTCCGTTCGCTTCGGGAGTTGCTCATTTGCGGCAATCGATTTGCGGAGATTATCCGAGAACACGCCCGCTAGCAACTCCACGAATCGCGAATCCACCGCTACCTTCACTGGAGACGTCACAAGGGCCTGGTCAGGCGACATAACAGAAGAGGAACCTGGTGAATCTCCCCTAGTTTGATCTGTTGAAGTGCTTCCCACTTTGGCAGCCGATTCAGGTTCACCCGTCGACACAAATTCCATATCATCTTGTGCTGAAAACGACTCCTGCTTGGCCTCCCCACTTGCAATCATTCTCTGCAGCGCCTTCATCTGCTTCTTCACGCCTACAATATCCGAATCCAGAACGTCAATCGTGGAGAGAATGTCTTCTTTTGAAGGTTTTGCTGGCGCTACGTCATCTTGTTCAATATCACCAGCCTCGGTCATCCTCAGGTCTCCAGCCTTATCCACTGCATCAGTGATAGAACTCTCAGCAGCAGCTGTCTTCAACTGCTCCTCTTTCTCTGGAGTTGTTGCTACTGAGGTCTGTACCCCAAGAAGCCCTACTTCCTTGCTATCAGAAGCACCACTGGCAGACCCGACCACTTCATCTTTGACTTCTGGGTGATCATTCCGAGATGTAAGGCTCTCCACGGTGGTTCCATCAGTCTTCCCAGCGTTAGCATTAGCAGATGCGTCTCCTCCTTCACGTGAGGTCTTCTCTTTGTCAACCGAAGTGTCGTCTTTCTTCTGCATTAGACCCTGGCCCCATCCAATACGTGGTCGCTTTGCTGGCTGAGGTGGTGACTGTGCCACGAGCCCTTGGCCCCAGCCCAACCGTGGTCGCTGTCGCTTCGTTGGCGTTCCATCTCCGAGAACAGTTGGCGATGAGGTCCCACGAACTACATCACTTGGAAGAGGAATATCCGGTAGTGCTGGCATCTCTTCTCGTGGTCTTGAAGCACGTGCATCGCCTACATCTCGTCTGCTGGGTGAATAAGAGGCATTCGTAGATGAATCTCTGACCGCTTGCGCCATTGGGAATGAACGCTGGGAATGTCTGTCCATCATACTGTCCATTGATCCTGCTCGCAGCAGTTCTCTTTTCACCGCGTCTTCTCTCCTCACATTGTCATGAAGCGTTCTCCTTCGGCCATCCGTATTGTGTTCGTAGGGCTTCGGAGGTGACGTCATTGCAGCAAAAGATGAAGTCGAGCGAGAAGTTTTACTGCCACTAGCATAACCTGTTTGTCGAGTTTCTGACGACGTAAACTGACCACGCTCCAGTAATGTCGAGAAAGACGCACGACGGTCGAGTGCTGGACGTCCACTTTGCTGTGGCGAATTCTTATGGGTCAAAGGCGAAGCCTCATCTCTCAGCTTCTGCAAAGGTCCTCGCTTATCTCCACGCGCCGTCTTCAGTGAAAACTCCGACTCGGAGCTAATACCTTCTTCACGAACACTTCCATCACGCCGACTACTGTTTGGCAAACCAAACGAGGAAAAAGATGTTGATCGAGGCTTAATGTTGTCGCTGTATACATTCGACGATGGATCAGTTCTGCTGCGCTCAATTTTCACCCGCTTTTCACGCACTACAGGTGGAACGTTGGCTTTTGCGGTGTCTGCAGCACGCATCCCTTCCCGACTGTCTTCCGAAGGAATACTGCGTGGAACTCCCTCACCAGCACTGGAAGTAATGTCAACAGCAGCCGGGGTCTCAATTTTTGCAGAGTCATTCTCTACTACCATCTCGCCCTCTTCAACTTCTTGAGTCTCAGTATCACTGGTGACAACTTCCTTAGGCTTAGCAGTTGCTTCAACGGTAGGTTTGTCTGTATCAAGCTCCAGATGAGGTTGGTTACCTTCGTCGGGAGTCACCTCTTGGCCTGTACGCTTTTCGTCATCAGCATCGACACTTTTCATCTCCACATCTGCCGTTACCTGTTTCTCGGGATCCAAATGAGCCTGATCCTCCTCATGTTTGATCGAGTTATCTACAGCATCCTCCATCTCAACGTCGTCACCCTTTGTAGCGCCAGTGTTTTCCTCACCGTCACGATTGTCTGCTTGTGGTTCTTGATCACGACGTTCGTTCGTCTCCAACTTCTTATCATCTTCAGCAGACAGCACAGTGGAAGTCACTGCAGCCAAATCATTTACTTCATTGCTGACGTCAACCTCAACACTAGGAGAAGTAAGCGCTCGTTCACTAGACGAGGATGGATCCTCCTTGAGCAACAGTACTTCATCTTCCACTATGCCAGACGCCTCTGGAGACGTCAGGTCCGATTTCTGTCGTACTTCCTCTGAGTTCTGTTCTTTGATAGCATCGGATGAAGGAAGGGTCGGAGAGGTCTCAATTTTAGAGCTGTGGTGGATATCCTTCTTCTCGGCATTGCTTTGCGCTTCCCCCAAGCTGGCTTCGCCAGTTTCCACCGCCACTTTGTCGTCCTCGCTAACAGCCGTACTAGCTGCTGCTGCACTTGAATCGTCACTCTGGACTTTATCATCAGCATCTTTGCCATGCAATTCATCCACTGACTTGGCAGAAGATTCTTCCTTCACAATGTCATTCGCAGATGCACGGGGTGCTGCTTGATACCTCTCTATTCTCCTCCTCCCACCTTCATCAACCTCCATCGACGCAGACCGTGAGTGCCCAGATCCACGATACTCCACATCATCCATCATCCGCCTCGATGGTCTCTCCTTCCTGTAAGATGGAGGAGACCTGTCTCCATAACTTTCATCCAGATCTACTTCATTCCGGTATGACGCATGACTGTCAGCATGAGGTCGAGGAGGCAACGCAGACGCCACTCGTCTCATACTATCCGTCATATCCCGGTCCGTGCTTCCTGTTTCACTAGGCGTGCGTGATCCTGTCGATCTCTCGCTGGTCGTAACGTGGCTTTCTTCGGGCTTTTCTTCACCTTCCTCCGCGCTAGCTGACGGCTCACTGTCTCTGTAATAGTCCGACGAATAGCTCGACGAGCGTACGAGCGACATGGACCTCGTGTCTCGCTCTCTCATTCGCGCACGATATCCTGGTTCATAGTCGCGCATCTGTCGGTCGCGGTAGCTGCTTGTCATCGTTGCGCTTGCTTCACTGCTGCCTCGGTCTCGACTTATGGATCGACGATGCGGTAAGGGTGCAGCCATTTTGTATCGGACTTCCTTGGGGTAGAAGCGATTGCCGCGCTGGTAGTTGACGTATCGTCCACCCCCACGTCCTCCGCCTCTCGGCCACGAGTCTCTCTCGCGTCCACGCTGTCGACTGTCAAAGCTGCCTCCACGTCCTCGTCCAGAGACATATTGTGGAGCTCCTGAGCTGCGTCCACCTCGTTCCCAGTTAGCAAACGTACGGTGGCCTCTGGGCGAGAAAGATCTGGAGCGTGAGCGGGATCGAGAGCGCGGTGGAGACTTGGGAGAGCGCGGAGAGTGCGATCTGGAGCGAGATCGCGTGCGTTGTGACGCTCTAGAGGGTGAGCGAGAGACTGAGCGACCTCTAGAGCGCGAGAAGACGCGTTCTCTCGGGTACGAGGCTCCCATGGCGCCTCCTTCGTAGCTCATTTGTTGGCGCTTGAAGTAGCCGCCACGTCCACCTCCACTGCTGCTGTAGGGCCGAGGGAAGCGACTACGGGGTGGAGAGCCGCTGCGCCACTGTTGGCTCTGGCTGCTGTAGGCTGGGGAGCGTCCAGTCTCGAGCGCCTGGCGGTCCATTGAACTACGGGACGACGTGTTGAGCTGGATGATGCGGCCTCTGGGCGGCGGTGCCTCTCCAGGCTCGGGTGATGAGGCTCTGGACGAGTCCTCGGCCATCTTCTCTACACTTAAGATCCTTTGTCTTGCTTGTTTCTCCTCTCGGCTGGGGACGGCCTTCTCGCGTGGCGCGGACTCTTATAATGGTGCTTGAGGCTGTTGCGCAGGATTGCATATGCCGTAGCACAGGATTGCACGGACCGTTTTCTACTCGATCACGCTCGCCCCCCTGTCGCTCCAGTGTCCACCCAGGTGTCTCGTCCAATAGCAACAAGCCACGAGATCTCGTGACTGAAGAATAATAATGGAGCGAGCACTCGGGGAGCCGACGCTCGTGCTCTGCGGTGTCTGCATGGACAGCGGGGAGCACGAGGAGAGATGGATGTCACTGCGCAATGGAGACGACCAGGCGCTGCTGGTACGTGACGTTTGTGTTCGTCCGCACTGTCCACGGCTACAGGTGCGCGGTCACTTGTGTGTCAACCACATTCTGGAGCTCGAGCTCGCGTGGCAGGGCAACTACAGTGTGCGCGCGTGCCACGGCTGCCGCGTCAGTACACTGCAGCTTTATAGTGAAAAGCGTGACGTCTGGTTTATCCTGGCTGCGAGTGAGTACACGACCGCCGCGCATGGCGTCGAGCGTCGAGTCAAGACCCCGTTATCATCCGCTGTGACCACTTCCACCACGCCCGTACGTGTCGGGGCTGCTGGGAAGAGGCCGCTTGGAAAGCGGCAAAGTCTCCGACGCAAATCGAGTCGATTCATTAAGCAGCATGTGCAGAAGGAGCAGATGCTCGCGTTGGAGTGGAGCTTGGGCAACTTGCCGTTGGAGAAGAGCAAACATCTCTGGAGTGACAACCGCAAACGGGTCGAGATGGAGAAGGACCCGGAGGCCTACTACGCGGCTATAAAGCCACCAGTGAAGGCAGCACCCGATGTCAACGCGCGACCGGAGCCCCAGGACATTTTCTGTGCCACGCTGGGATGCAAACGCTTCGCCAAGACTGGCAACCGTTGTCGCTTTCACTCCTCCAAGCCGCTTGCGTTTATCAAGCCCGCGGTTGGGGTCGACGGGGCCAGTGTCCCGGCGAAATGAAAATCAACAAGTACAATTATGAAGGCGTATGTGCGCTGCCTACCTGTCTATGGATACATAAGTTATGACTCGAATTCAAGAGAAATGCCGGCTTGGTGCACAATGGTGTCAAGATGCACATGAAGACACAGGATACGAAAGCAGCGAGGGTGGGCCGAGGTGTGAGCCATAATTTCATTTGACTATCGCTATCCACCTCACTCTTTGTGTGCTTCTGCTCACCTTTCGAGGGTTCATCTACCTTACCTTTTGTCGCTAAGAACACGGTGCATTACATGCATTCCTCTTTCAACTGGGCATGCGACAACGACAACCGGAAGAACGAAAGCTACAATGACGGACTACCGGTGCAAAACTACTCTACCATTTCGACCTTTTATCCTGCCCCACAACTATATCTTCTCAATTGCGCCGTAGTTCACGAACCACGGCTATACAAGGATAATCCACTGGCAATCATACATCAAAATGCAGCAATACAACCAGTCCTCATGACTCAACGGCGACGACGCTGACGCTCGCGGCGGTTGAAACCTCCTCCCAATGCATTGCCGCCGCCGAAGCCGTTGCCACCTCCCGATGCAGCACCTCCAAAGCCAAATTGTCCTCCAGCAGCACCTGCAAATCCGTTGTTGCCAGCTTGGTTGAAGTTCCCCATTGCGCCGCCTTGACCACCGAAGCCACCAAACGTGTTGCCACCTTGCATACCGACACCCATTGGCTGACCGAAGCCACCTCCACCGTTTCCATTGAAGAAGCCCCCGCCCATACCAGCACCAGCTCCAGGACCGCCGAGCATGCCGCCACCAAGAGCACCCATCCGATTCGCTCCACCGAATCCTCCCATCGAGTTCGCAGCTAACCCGCTGCCAACTCCGCCAGCGAGTGCGCCACCATTTGCGGGGATTCCACTGCCGGCACCTGGAGCACCAAGTCCAGCTCCGAACGCGTTACCGTTTCCTCCGAAGCCTGGCGACGGTGGAACTCCGGTCATGCCTGCAGCACCGCCTTGAGGTGCGGTGACTGGTGCTGCGGGTAGTTGAGCACCAGAAATTCCTCCATTG